AGTTATAATCATCTAATATATTGCTATTCTGAAAAAATTACCTGTTAGATTAAGTATGATTAAGAATTAAGAAATAATAATGGGTGAGAAAAATAAAAACCTGTTTTGTTTTAAAGTATTCCATTTGATACTCTTCCACTTCTTGTAGATATGTTTCAAACCAATATAATTTTCCTGCTCTCTGAATAACTTTTAGCATTTCTTCAAGACATTCTACTACTGACAAAGTCTCCCAATATTTGTTTGAGAAAATGTTTACTTCTCCACTTTTGGAGGATATATTTTGTTTTGTTTTATTATTCATATGTGCATACAAGGCTTGGGTCATTTCTCCTCCCTGCCCCCACCCCCTCCCTTACCACCCACTCCGCTCCCTCCCTCTCCCCCCTACCCCCTCAATACCCAGCAGAAACTATTTTGCCCTTATTTCTAATTTTGTTGTAGAGAGAGTATAAGCCATAATAGGAAGGAACAAGGGTTTTTGCTGGTTGAGATAAGGATAGCTATACAGGGCATTGACTCACATTAATTTCCTGTGCGTGTGTGTTACCTTCTAGGTTAATTCTTTTTGATCTCACCTTTTCTCTAGTTCCTGGTCCCCTTTTCCTATTGGCCTCAGTTGCTTTAAAGTATCTGCTTTAGTTTCTCTGCATTAAGGGCAACAAATGCTAACTAATTTTTTAGGTGTCTTACCTATCCTCACCCCTCCCTTGTGTGCTAAAGCTTTTATCATGTGCTCAAAGTCCAATCCCCTTGTTGTGTTTGCCCTTGATCTAATAATGTCCACATATGAAGGAGAACATACGATATTTGGTCTTTTGGGCCAGGCTAACCTCACTCAGAATGATGTTCTCCAATTCCATCCATTTACCAGCAAATGATAACATTTCCTTCTTCTTGAAGGATATTTTTGCTGGATACTGAATTCTAGGTTGGTAACTTTTTCTCTCAACACTTTAAATATTTCACCCCACTCTTCTTGCTTGCTTGGTTTCTGAAGAGAAATTTGATCTAATTCTTATCCTTTTTCCACTATAGGTAAGGTTTTTCTGGTTTGGGTTTTGTTTCTTCCCCCTCTGACATTTTGTAAGATTTTTCTCTGAGTCTAATTTTCTACAGTCTGAATATGCATAGCTGTACATATTTTGATATTTATATTGTTCTCTGGGTTTCTTGGTTTTGTGTTTGTCATTGATTTTGGAAAACAAAGAACAAGTGTAATGAACAGAAAAGTTATAAAATGGTAGATATTAATCCAACTGTATTATCATTTTAAATATGAGTGGTCTAAATATACCAAATAAAAACAGAGAGTAGATGCTGAGCTGTGTGCTGTGGCTGCTGTAGCTTGCAAGAGTAAAAAGAAAATGAGCCTGCAATGAAGATTCAGAAGAGTCCAGAAGGGGAGAAAAACCAGAGGAAAAGATGATAGAATCCCAAGATCTCGCTGACCTACTAGATCATGAACATGAAGAAGATGAAACTTTTCCTTCTTTCCATCTCCAGCCTCTCCAGAGAGTTGGTGCAGGAGCTGGATCTGATGAAGTCAGGGAGTCAAGCACCTGTTCTGTTCCTCCAAGGACAACAGTTAAAAGGAATCTACCCAAACTGAATGCTCAGTGATTAATTTTAGAGAGAGAACTTCCAGCTGTAAGGCATGTGTTTGATAAGACAATATTCAATGGTAAAGGTTACAACACTGAAGACTTGAAGGCACTCATCAGACACATGGGAGTACTGGGCACATAGGATATTCCCCAAACTGCAATTTGAGGATTTTATGGACAGAGCTGAAAATCTAGGAATTAAAGGAAGTTCAGGCGTATTTAAAAAGAATTCAATTTGATCTTCCTATTTTACATCAACATTTTGTTAGCAATGATGAAGCAGAGGAAAATAATAGCCTTGATGCCAAATTGGTGAGGTCCTTTTTGGCAAATTAATCTGAAAGCAAGAAGTTTGCTGGCATCAAGAAGAAGCCCAACAGAAGAGAAACAATAAAGAACTGAGAGAAAACAAACAACTGGCCTTGGGAAGAAGGCAGGCAAGGCTACTAACAGTTGGTCCCTAGAAAATGATAAATTAATGAATATACCCAGAGCACAGACAGTTGAAGTGGTTAGTACTGGTGAGGATCAAAAGGAGTGAAATGGATTTAAACAGAGACATGGTGGACAATCATGTAATGATACCTTAGTCAATACTGTAAGTGAAGCAGGGCAACTAAAAGTAGAGGAAACATAACTGGATTGGTCCTTTTAAAATGTACAATGGTAACTTTATGTTTCATCCAGAAATGTTACTGAGGTTAAGTAAACCTCCACTAAGAGAAAAATATATGTTAATGGCTATCCTGAGAGTTTGGAATTACTGTGTATCTTGTCTATTTCATATACAAATTCTTAATTAGTAAAACTTTTGCAGATTTGTCCAAAATCTGGTATTCATAATTGTTTGTTGCTTAACTTTAGTGTTTTATATAGCTATGATTTTGTAAAATAATGATCAATCATTATTAAACCATTTCTGCTACTAGTGTACTTTGAATGCCTTGTTTTCACTAAATTGGGTAATGTTTCTAGATGTAAATATTGAACGGTGTCTTTTTATAAAGAAGTAAAAATAATTAGTGTATAAGTTTTAAAAAGCGGCTAAGCAGAAAGAAGACTGATCTATATGTTATCTACAAGAAATCTACTTTAAGTGTGAAGACACAGAGAATAATTGATGGAGAAAGGTGTCCCGTGCTAATACGCTAATACTCAGTCAAAGAAAGCTGTGGGCTGGGCATGGTGGCATGTGCCTGTAACAGAACTTGGGGGACTGAATCAGAATTGCAAATTCGAAGCCAGCCTGAGCTACATAGCAAGACCCCCTCTATGAAAACCCTATCTAGCAGAGCTCTGGTGGCTCATGCCTGTAATCCTAACTACTTGGGAGGCTGAGATCAGGATTACACTTTGAGCCCAGCCCGGACAAACAGTTCTCGAGACCCCATCTCCAAAATAACCAGGGTAAAATGGCCTAGAGATGTTGCTCAAGCAGTAGTGTGCCTGCTTTGCAAGAACAACGAAAGACCATCTGTCTAGGTAGGCACAGTCGCTTATGTCTATAAACCCAACTACTTAGGTGGTGGAGACTGGGAGGATGGTGGCTTGAGGCCAGCCTGGGAAAAAAGTTAGCAAAACCCCATCTCAATCAGTAAGCTAGGCATAGAGGTACATGCCTGTGAGCCCACCTACATGGGAGACTGTAGAAGGATCGTGGTCTGAGCAAAAACGTGAGACTCTATCTGAAAAATAATTATAAGCAAAAATGGCTGAGAATGTGACACAAGTGTTAAGACACCTGCCTAGCAAATGTTTGACCCTGAGTTGAAAATCCAGTACCACAAAAAATAAGCTTAAAAAAAATTAAGAAACACAAATCACAATGCTGAAACACAAAAATTATGAAAAAAAAAAACCAAAACAAAACAGGCAATATGACTTTCCCCAAATCTTAACACTCCTTAATAACTGAAGCTGAAGATACTGAAATGGTTGAACTGCAAAGAATTTAAAACTCTAGTTTTAAAAATGATCAATGACCTGGAAGAGGATTCAAACAAAAAGATGAATGGGGATGAATCTGATCAAGGTACCTTGTATACATCTATGGAAATATCACAATAAAACCCCTTTGTATGATTCATGTGTGCTAATTTAAAACAATGGATAAATGCTATACATATGCTTGTCCACAAAGATCTTACCTCCTTGCTCTTAGGGTATCCTTAAAAAGTAGCCTATGGGCTGGCAAAGTGGCTCAAGTGGTAGAGTGCCTGCCTAAGAAGCACAACACCCCAAGTTCAAACCCCATACTGCCAGGAAAAAAAAAAGTATGTATACAAAATGGAGTATTATTCAGCCATGAAGAGTGAAATTATGTCATCTGCAGGAAAAATAGATGAAACTGGAGATCATCATATTAAGAGAGAGAAGGCAAACTCAAAAAGCCAGAATTACATTTACACTCATATGCAGAATATAGACCTAAAATGCTAACAATAATGAGGCATGAACATAAAAGGAAGACTGCTGGGCTGGAGGTGTGGCTCAAGTGTTAGAGCACCTGCCTAGCAAGTGTGAAGCCCTGAGTTCAAACCCTAGTATTGACACATCAGAAAAAAATAGGGGGGAGAGGGAGACTGTGTGTATGGCGAGGAGGTGGGTGGAAGATTAGGTTGGGAGTGGGAAAAGGGGAGAGGAGAAGGTTCTAGGGACCAAAGTACATTACATAAATATATGAAGACAGTGTAATGACACCTACAAAATAGTTTGAAAAGTAGGGAGGAGAATGGGTGGGTTAAGGAAGAAAATCTTTCCCTAGATTTGGGGGGACTTCCTGCTATAATTTTCACTGAAACTGTTTTTTTATAGTTTGTATCTCAGCTCCTTCTTCAGCCTCATGGAGTTGCTGTGATCACAGCCCAAAGTTCCTGAAAGTTCATTTTATACTCAAAGTGCAACTAGGGTAAGAGGACGCATACCACCTCCATCCACTGAGATATGCAACTGGATTGGATGTCAGCAACCCCACAGTCTCTTCACCTTGCCTTCCTGTGTGCTCCACACACCTAACTCCTTATCTCAACTGTATACAACCCCACAATTCTCAGGAACTCAGGAATTCTGAATGATCCCAAGAAATGCTTTTTAAAAGGTTGTTGTGATTCTTTTTTTGTAAATGATATCCCACTGAAAATAATATGATGAATTATGTATTTGCCAGAATATTTATGACAAATGTTGATTAGCTCTGAAGTTTCTAAAGCACAAAAAGTAGTCAAGCTGCTATGGCACTAGAATATATTTGGTGAGTAGTTACCGAGAATCATATTTTTATAAACTTGAGAAGAGATGATTAGGTTTCTATTTACTCAAGGAACATTGTACCAAAAGTATTTTGCTAGTGTGGAACAATAACAAACATAAATACACATAAGCAACTGTGTACAAAATAATTTATTATAGCATTATCTAGGTCGGCATTATTTTATAGTGAGTATTCTTCCCCATCTCAACAATTATGAATCTGAACAGATTAGGTAAAGAAAGCCATTTTAATTGAACTGTCTAAATAAAATCTCCCTTTTGAGACATTGGCTTAAAGGGAAGCAGTAATATTACAGACATATTTACACAGTTCTGAGACATAGTGGGTGATTCCATTACTGTTTCCTGTACAAGATATGACAAAAACCTATCTCCCTCAAAATATTGTTTAACAACACTATTTAAACTAATGGTAGCTGAAATTCTCATTTTACTGAGAGATCTAAAAATGCACTTAGTAATTAATGTGGGATTGTAAGAGTAATTAGTGCTTCATTTTAATCTGTATTCTGCCCCATTATGCTCCCTGGAAGCATACTTCACAGGATAAACCACTTGTTCAATTTGTTAAGCAACTTGCTCAAAAAAGCAGAACTCTTGCACGTGGGTCTTTGAGACACACAGATTATGCAACAAATTTCCAGTGAATTTACATGATTAAGAAGCAAATCGATTTTCACATTCTAAATCACTTACAGAAACTGAAGTACCCTTATACAGTAAGTTACCATTTTTATGCCTATTTTTAAACATATAGTTAGTACTTCTAAACAAAAGCCAGCAAGCAAATAAGCACTGATAAAATAAACTAGGAAGACAAGGGATGAAGATATAGATCCTGAAACCAGGATCTAAAAAATAATATCCAAGGGCTGATACAACCTCACTTACTCAGAAATTATCTTAATTATGATATAGAAGCAACAGCAGCCACTACGGTGCTGATAATATGGGAATTTAAGAAAAACTGTACAAGTATAAACAAGTCATTTTAACAGATATTTAAGTAAACTGGCAGAGTCAGAGAATAAAATAGACTTATAGAATACTCCATTTAAAAATTCTACAGCAATATTTCATTTCATACCTATATTAAAATGCACCCTGAAAAAGAAACCCTGATGTGAGCTCAGTTTTGAGTCTGCAGGAGTTAACGTCCACAAAATTTCAAATTTCAATTGCTAAGACCTCGTTGTTATTAGCTGTATGGTTCAGTGCCACACTAGGACTCTGGACTTCATTCCCAGCAGGCAGGAAAGCAGATGTAAAAGGAAGAAGCTTGTGACAGGCCATCCGGTATTTTTCATATTGGGAACTGCAGTTCCCAAAGCTGCCATCAAGCAGTGCCTCAGAAACCTTTAATAAAGTCTAAGGAAAGAAGAGAATAAAATTATTTTTAAAAAATAAAATTTTTTTTAAAAGCTCAGTTAATAATGACAAATAAAAGATGTAATTTGTTAAATCAGGAGAAAGACAAAAAAGCCTCAGTCTAAAATAACTTCTTCCTATCCACAGTAAGTAATCACTCCAAAAAAAGGAACACCAAAAAGCAACTCTGAACTGAGCTTGGTGGTGCATACCTGTTGATTCCAGCACTTAGAAGGCTGACGCAGGAGAACCTTAAGTTCCAGGCCAACCTGGGTTACCAAGACCCTGTCTCAAACACAAAACAAAAAAACAACGAAACTCTGCAAAGCCTTTAAAAAGGGCAATAAAATCTCATACTTGAAAAAGAAAACCTCTAAGACTGTGATTACCAAAAGAGAATGTTCTTTATTAGCAACAGCTCACATTTACTGAGTGCTCACTGTATGCTAGGCACTAAGCATTTAGTGCTTTGTTATTTCAGTTAACCTAAGACACTGACTGTGAGGTCAGTGCTACTCCCATCTTCATCTTCAAAATGAGGAGGAGAAAGATATCTTGCCTACACAGCTAATAACTGGTGCAGCTGAGATTAGTATTCAGGCATAACTCTGAAGACCCATTCAAGAATTATTGTTGAGAGATCCCATGTTTTATATCTATAAATCAGCCTGTGAAAAATCTTACCTTTACATTTTTATCTTTTATAGTTTCATCCAACCTAGTGGCTATAGCAATTGCTTTCTCTTGCCTTGATTTGTCCAGAAAATACATCATTTTAGCACCTGAAATTCAAAGACATTTCAAGGTAAGTAAATCCTATGGCTTACACTTTATCTGATTTATATGACCAGGGACTTAAAATGCAGTTTCAAGTGTTAATCAATCAGTGGGGGGTAGGAGCTGGCTCCCTCCTGCTGTGGGCAGCCATCTCTTCCCAACTTCCTATTCAGTGACATTCCTCTGATAGCTTAGGGCACAATGAGAGTATTGATAACTTGAAAAAGCACTACCTATCAGTTTTTTCCTTCACAAAGAGACAGACATTAACACATACCAGAAGAACACAATTTTGATGACTTCCTCTCCTTATAAATAATTTTAAATGTAAACCAGGGTATCAATCAATATTTTGGTCAAAATCATTTTTTAAAAATGATGATACCTAAACTAAAACATCTAAGGAACAAATTATTGTCACATAGGAATGTGGTTAGAGGACAAGAGAAAACATTTGCACATTCACAAAGAAAGTAGTAATTTCTAAAAACTATCTTAAATAAAACCCAGTTTATAGCTGTCCTATAAATTGTATGGTTTGTATTCTATGTTAAAATTTCTATTGAATTCTTATGAATTTATATTATTTGATAATTTATAAGAACTCTATGTACTCTAGCTTTTTTCAGTGGGGCATTATTGGGGTTTGAACCTGGGGCTTCAAGCTTGCCAGAACTCCCAGCCTTTTTTTGCTACTTTTTAGATAGGGTCTTGCACTTTTTGTGAGGCCTTGTACAGCAATCCTCCTACTTATACCTCCTGCATAGCTTGTTACAGGTGTGTACCTCCATACCTAGCTTCTTTGAGGTAAGGGCTCCCTAAATTTTTTGTCCCATCTAACCTCAAACTGCAATCTTCCTGTCTCTGCATCCAAAGTAGCCAGGATTTCAGAAGTGAGTCACAGCACTGAGCTGTGTAGTAGCTTTTTATCTGTCAATATTTTTTTCCAGCTCATCTTTTGACCTTCTTTGTGTTTTATTTTTAAATAGTGAAAATTTTCTTTTCCTTAGAATATCATGTTTAGAAAAATATTTCTCAAAATTATAGAAATGTTTTCGTCCATTATCCTGTTTTTAAAGAGAAATTCTTATCTGCTCTTACTACCAAGAAATGTAATTTTTCGTAAGAATTTGTTTTTGCCACAGCTATTACAACTGTGACGGTTCTCTTTAATAAGAAACTTTCGTTAAAATACTTAAATATCTGACTTAAAGTAGAGTTAATTTGGATATGTTTTTCATTTTGTCCATAACTCCTTTTCTATAATCTTTTGTCCAGGTTTCAAGTGATCTTGTCATTTTATGAATTTGTATAAACTGCCTAAAATCCTTCTTATAACAAGACAGGATACAAATAAAAAACCTTCAACATAGAAAATATAATAAAAATTCAAGAAAAAATTAATCACTCATAACCACAATACTCAAGAGCAACATTAAATCTATTATATACTTCCTTTCAGTCTTTTTCTTCAAGCATATTTTTACACAGTTGAGAATATATTTTATGTTCAATTCTGTATATGTATAATAAAATTATTTATCAGTTATTACAAACCCTGTGAATAAACATCACTTTAAACAACTACCTAGTGTTTCATCTTACCAACCTATCAGTTTCCACGATTACTAAACATGTATTTCTTCCCATTCTTCTTTTCCTCATACTTACACACAGCATTTCAGAAGGTATCATTGTACCTTAACCTTCTTTGCGGTAATTTTTCTGTTTGCTTTTATTTTTGAGACAAGTTATCACTATCTAGTCAAAACTGAACTAGTCCCAATCCTCCTGCCTCAGCCTCCTAAGTACTGGTATTAATTCTTTAAAATTATTTACAAAACTCTGACTATGAAATCAAAACACACAAGTAATGTGCTGATCTCAAGAAGAATGACAAACCGCTTTCCTAAGTGGCCGGGCCACTTTACCCTCACTGCAACAAAGAACCTACATGTGTAAGGACCTGGGTTCAATCCCCAGCACTGGGGGAGAAAAAAAAAATGTCTTTCACTACAAATTTTTTTCCATAAAAATTTTAACCACAGCAGCTAAATACAAACCTGAAAGTAGATGTTGAAGAGAGGTAGTGTTATGTTTGAGAAAATCCTCATTAAAACTATCCAAATCCTTGTTGACAAATATTTTCTGCATTTCTTGAGACAGAACTTTGCTCACAATGTCTGGAAGGTTGCTATGACTAGACACTACAAAAAAATAACATTTAGATTGTTTTTCATCCATCCTTTGAAAAATATCAACCAAAAACCTATGTATAGTATTAAGTTATATATACGTCTATAAATGTATATATATATATATATACATATATAGACGTATATATATGTATACATACAGTAAAAATATTAACACTCCTTTGGAATCTAAATACATTCTAGCCTAAAAATGCTATTTCTAGCATTTTTTAGCTAACATATTTAATTTATAATTTAACATCTTCATTTAAATATGATAAACATTACTTTTTTTTTGCTTTACATTATTGCAAGTCTCTTTAATGTTCAGCTAAACAGAAAACAGCTCATGCTTCTCATATTTGCTTCTAAATAAACATTACCTTTTTATACTTACCAGACTTAGAAAATTTAATTAAACACTCATGTAACCATGGATTATTACTGTTGATGGCAAAAGCTCGTTTGACAGACTGTAGCATTAACAGAAACTTTCCTGTGTGAGAAAAAAATAAAAAATAACATTAATATTTGTGTTGCTTATTTCAGGTTATTTAGCCTCACTTAAATTCAGTAACAAAATGTTATCATAACATTCATAAATGAAATTCAAAGTTGTCTGGCGTTATCAAAGAAAGATTTTTCTTTCCAAAGAAAAGGTTGAAAAAGTCATGATAAATTGCTTCCGGTAAACATTTTCTATGATTGTTCAAAAATATTCTTAACCTGGATTTGATTAAAATATTCTACTAAATTACCCAACAAAGTTTTAAGGAGCAAAGAAAAAGGGGTTTAAGAACCTTCATTTGGGGACTGGCAGAGTGGCTCAAGTGGTAAAACGTCTAGCAAGTGTGAGGCCCTGAGTTCAAACCCCAGAACTGCCAAAAAAAAATACCAAAAAGAGAAAAACCCTTTATTTGGAAGGTTGAAATGGAACTCTTAAGAAACAAAAATCTAACTGACAAGGATTACACTGAATATAGTCAACATAATTAAGGATTAAAAACCAAACTCAAGGCTAGGGTGTAACTTAGTGGTAAAGTACTTGCCTAGCGTGTGTGAAGCCCTGGATTCAACTTCCAGCACTACAAAAATAAAAAACAAAATAAAAACTGAATTTAAAACTATGTATTACCTTTTCTAAAATATATTTCAAATGCTAGTAGATGGGTGTCAATGTTATCAGCAACAAGGTTCTTAAGAGGTGTAAGAAACTTGATGGCTTCTTCTAATGGATTTTCTACCTATTTTGAAGGAGAAAGAAAGAAGTTTGTATTTAAAAAGTAGCCACACAGTGAAATTTCTTCTAAAATCTAATTTCTTCTTAAATCACATTTATGTAATTTAATTCTCTTTATATAACCAAATAAGCAAGAAAACATTTAAAAGCTATCACCTATAAATAAATTCAAAGAACACAGTCAATATTCAAAATAGAAATACCCATATTGTTTTTATAACTATAAAATCAAGATAGTTTTATAAAAATAACTATTTAAATTATTCCAGACTTTATAGAATGGTGTACCTGATACTGATAGTTCCTTATATATTATAACCATCTACAGGAAGGAGATAAATATAATAGCATCACAGAATTGGGAAAAAAGTAATGATAAATTTTAAATACTGTGGGGGGGGAACGATAGGGAGGAGGCAGGGATAGGGGGGAGAAATGACCCAAACAACGCATGCACATGTGAATAAACAAATAACAATAAAAAATAAAAGTTTGTTTTAAATGCTTAAGCTGGATTTACAGTGAAAAGGCTAAGTATTTTCCTAAATCTGGTTCCAAAATAATTATTAACACTTTGAGAAAATCCTGGGGATGAGGTGTTGAATCTTTATAGCTAAAACATTATCTACTAGAATATGAAAAATCAACAATTCCTTATTTCATAGACATTTGTATTGCTGCTATAACAAGTTACCAAGAATTTAATAGCTTAAAACAACACAAAATTCTTATTTGCAGTTCTGTAGATTCTAAGTGCCACACCAGCCCACCTTATGGGCCTACATCAAGGTGTCAGCAGGACTGCAATTCCTTTTGGAGGCTCTAGAATAGAATACATTTCCATGCCTTTTTCTCCTTCTGAAGGCTGCCCACATTCTTTGGCTTAGGGCCCTCTCCTCCATCTTGAAAACCAAAAACAACAGGTTGAATGAGTCCTTCTCAAATCACAATATCCTGACCTCTTCTGTTTTGTTCCTCTACTTTCATGGCCTTGTCTCATCACACTGGGCCAAGTGTATAATTCAGGCTAAGGTTAAACATGTAGGTTTTGGGATCAGAACATACCTTTAGAGAGCCATTATTCTGGGCCATGACAAATCTATATATAATTTGCAGTAGCCAAAATTTGTACATTGTCACTCAATGGTAACCGCTGACTGTCACAATGATCTTAAAATACTGCAATGGTTTCTGATTCATACATTGAAATAAGTTGTGCTTATTGCCAGAACAGAACCAAACAGCATCAATGTTACCAAATAATGATGATGAACACTCATCTCACCCTTTCTAATTTCTCAGGTACAAGTTCTTCCCTAAGACCACTGGCTTCTTCTTCTTCTTCATCTCTTTTCTTCTTTTGATTTTTTTGTTGACGTTCCCTTTCCACATGCTTTCTCTCTTCTTCTAACTTAGCCTTTTTCTGAGCTCTTCTCTGCTTGCTAAGCATTTTCTTCAATTCTTTGGCTGACAGGTTTTCTATAAATATCCAAATGGAAAAAAAATTCTATTGAGTCAATGTTTGGTTCTTCCTTATATCCTTCCTGCAGTACACACTATTAATATGGGTTTGGAGCAGCAACTATGTAAAAGTTTTTGGAAAGTGCATTCCCATGAGTAACATAAAACTTGGCACACAAAAGTCAAGTAGTAGTTGCTGGTTGCATTAACTAAACTTAACCAATCCTAGCCCAGTTCTACCTCCTACACAATAAGTAACTTTAGGCAAGTCAAGTCACAAACTGTGCAAGAGGGAGCTAGTATCATTAATTATCCTCTTGGAATGTTTCATGGGCAAGGCATGTAAACAAAATTGTGTTCTCTAAATGAATACTTTATAAATACTAGAAATGAAAGGTTGGGAATATAGCTCCATGTTACCATTTCTCAAATATTCTTAGATATTAATAATCTTGTGAATAAAAAGCTATAAAGATGTTCTCACAGGCATTCTTATATGAAGTAAGTACCACAAATTTTAAAAATATGCATTTTCCTGAAGGGGCTCAAGGCTACTGTCAGTTATAATTTTTAAAAAAATCAAAACAGCCCATAGATACTTCTATTTTTCCTGAACAGATCTTCCTGAAGATAAAAATAAGAAAGCCTGGCCGGGCATGGTAGTGTACACCTATAATCTCAGCACTCAGGAGGCTGAAGCAGGAAGTCTGCGAGTTGAAGACCAGCCTGGACTGCTACAATATGCATTCCAGGCTAGCCTAAGTTGCACAATGAGACCCTGCTGAGATGGGAGGGGAAGAGAGCATAGAGAAGTGACAGCCCTGCACTTGCTAGGCAGGTGCCCTACCAACTTAAGCCATGCCCCTCACCCTTTCGCTTTAGTTATTTTTCAGAAAGGGTCTCAAGTTTTGCCAGGGGCCACCAGTCCTCCTACCTATACCTCGCAGAAGCACATCATCGTGTCTGCCTTGGGGCTGATATGGGGCCTCATTAACTTTGCTCAGGCTGGCCTTGATCTCTTCTTCTTAAGTAGCTGGGATTACAACAGTTGTGAACCAACATGTTCAGTGCTCCCGACATTTTTTTTTTACTTGTATCAGTTATCTGATATTGTCTTCCCATCCATTACAGAACACACTTCTCTTTTTATTGTCATTTTTTTTGTGATTTGGCAGTACTGGGGTTTGAACTCAGAGCTTCATGCTTGCTAGGCAGGTGCTCTACTGCTTAAGCCACACCTCCAGCCCTTATTGTTATCTTAGTTATACAAATATGTGGAATACAGTGAGATAATTTGTAAATATATACAGTGTGTAATGATCAAATGAGGACAGTTAACATTTCTATCTCCTTAAATATCTGGTGATACATTTTTCTGTACATTGTTTATGTTAATGACATTCTGAAATTTGATGTTGTTTTCAAATCTTTTTTAAACAAGTTCCTTTTCAGTTACCTGAATTTATTTCTTGTTGTTTGCTTTCATCAGTTAAAGGATTATCATATAACTTCAAATATATTTCAATCGCTGATCTAGCAGCCTTGAAATAAAAGGCATGTCTTCTGAGAATATCTTCTAATCTCAAAAGGTCAACATAGGCACGAAGGGTCATCTTTCTCATGCAGTATGTATGGAAGTCAAATTGATCATCGGTTATCTCAAAAAAATGCTTAAAAACAAAACCACAAAATTATCCCTTACATTTATATCAATAAAGCCTACCTTTTGAAAGAAAAATCATGAAAAGCCTCAAAACCAATTTAAACAGTCATAATTTCACTTACTTGCTCTCTCCCATTTTAACACTATAAATAGAACATAAAGTTCCCTGCATTCAACTTGAAGCACCTCTTCTATAATCCATCCCCCTTGCCTATAAGTCATGCTTTACGGTAATACTCAACCTCTGCATTGTTAAATGATCAGGTTATATTTTAAACCCGGAAATTAGTACATATTTATCAGTTGTAACAAAATATTTCTCTGTATTCACTAAAAACTAACAAGGTAGAGTTAAACAGAACTCTGTAGACTAAATAAATTAGTTCGCACTAAATGTTTACAACTCTAACTGAGCTCTTAAGAGGACAGGCTTGTCATCTCTATCCTCCTCTTCCTGGAAGAGCCTAACACAGAGCAGATACCCATAAACAGAGTATCTGCCAGAGATAAGGTGCTTCTGAGGCACATGAACTTGAAAATGTCTTTTAACTTACTAGAGCTTTAATTATTTAATCTAAGGAATAAAGAAATCTAAACAGCCAACTTCTTAAGGTTTTTATTGTTAGGGTTTCTTTTGTTTGTTTTTGGCAGTACTAGGGGGTTGAACTTGGGGCCTCATGCTTTCTAGGCAGACACACTCTACCACTAGAGTTACTCCATCAGCCCTAATTTTTTAAAGTTTCAAAAGACCAAGTAAGAATATATTCTTAAAAATCATTCTCTCTAGTAAACTGCTATACACAGGCAGAGCACTACAGTTTTTTCTTATTCAATAAGCTCTCATTAACCTACCTATATATTCCATTTTACACAAGTTCTTAATCTGAAATCTATTTATAATCAATGATAGTAACTTCTTCCTAAGGAAGAGCTCAAAGCTTTCATCTAATTTTCAAAGACTCCATCGTCCAGAAACGGTTAAGGATATTTTCCTCCACTGAAAGAAGAATGCTAACCCCCTAACCCAACAAAACAATTTTATAATTTTATGTTATTCCCCAGTATGCATTTTTTTTTACTTCCGATTCATTCTTTTTCCCTACTTTGGCTCTTCCAAAATCAAACAGAAAAATAAATATAATTCAATACACCAATGCACATCAAGTTTTTCTACTGCTTCGTATTCCCTCTGTCCTGGGGGAGGTCTCACAACTCACTGTGCAGAGGACACAGCAGACATAGTAGTAATTGTCCATAACCACTTGATAATTTTAATCATCTCAGTAATTAGAAACATGCTATACAAGAAGTACATTAAGTACCTGAGACTTTAAGAAAAGATTTCTAATAAAAATAAAAATAGTGTGGAGGACAAGAAATAGAAAATAACATTTCACATCACTTCATATTTTGCTAAAAAATCATGCTGTAATGATATATTTGAAAACTGCATCCTTACCACCAAAAAGACAAATTCTAAACAATAACATTAACTTGCTTTGGTTTCTCTTTGAAATCAAAGGATTACTATTTCATAAAGGTGTTGGTGGTTTTCCTTATTGTAAAGCAAGTTCTATCTACCACCACTGTAATGTTAAAATTCAATATAATTTGCCAAGGAAAAATAGCAATGCTAAGTCATGGAATACATAAGATGAAAACATCTACAGTGTGTTTACTAGGCTAAGAAATGTGTACAAAGGCAGACAACAAACTTCAAGAGATATTCCTAGCAGCATTAGTACATACAGATTTTAATGTCTGTTTGGAGCCATAAACTTTTAAGCCGCCTCTTTTATCAGTAACAGCCCATAGGCTGCCTCTCTCCAGTTAATGTCTTCCATAAACAGGGTGACCAATTTATCCCAGTTTGTCAGAAGCTTTCCCAGTTTTTCCTGTGAAAGCACTGTGTCTCAGAACCACTCAGCCACAGGCAAATCTGGGGAGTTACTCTATGATCAGTTAATGGTGATAAAAAGAGTGTGGTTAGATTAATCAGAAAAAGTAGGATACTGCAGTTTTGGCTTAATACCTTTGCTTTGGAAGAAACAAGTATATTGCAAAATGTTACATAAACAACTAAATTTCTCTCTCTGAGGGGTGGGGCGTGCTGGCAGAGTTGTGAAGCTGTCAAAATTAGGCTTGAATCAAATTAAGACAAATTAGAAAAGAATTAGGAAAAGCCACTCACAGCTTTAGAGAGTGCTTTTCTTTAGCAATTCTGTATTTGACCCTCTCTTCTAGCCCAGATTCTCCTGCCCATCACTTCTTGGGAGTTCCTGAATGAGAGTATTAAAAGCTTACACATAGAAAAGCAACAAAAATCTGGCTTTAAAAATAGTAACTAGAGCAACTAGCAGAATAAGTAATTTTATTTGTTTTATACAGAATTTGTCACTATAATGAATGTATCAATTTGATAAATATTAAGATGCAACAGGTTTTGATGTATCAGAAATCCTTTTATCAAAAAGAGTTAAAAAATATATATTACTGTCCTGTTTCAAATACAAACCAGCACATTAAATGAGATCCCATTCATTTAAAAAAATAAAAAATGGAACGCTGTATTTTTTGCGGGGGTGAGACTAGGGCTTGAACTCGGGGCTTCACGCTTACAAAGCAGGCACACCTCCAGGCCATTTTGTTCTAGTTATTTTGGAAGGGGGGAAAGGGAGCTTGCAAACTATTTGCCTGGGCTGGCCTCGAACCAGGATCCTTCTGATCTCAGCCTTCCAAGTAACCATGATTATAGACGTGAGCCACCAGTACCTGGCTGGAAAACTCAATTCTTGAAAGATAAAATAAATTTTAAATGAACACAAGCTTATAGCCAATATTTTGAAAGCTTTTTGTTTTAATAAAACTCAATTTTTAAAAAATCTTCAATTTTCAAACATCAGATTGAGTTGGACTACACAACCTTTATATATAATCTTAAAATTCTACTTAGAGGGGCAAGATGAAGACAGAAAATACCAAACAATGAATTCTATTATTTGAAATCCAATTACTAAGAACTCACAGCAGTATGTATCCTAGCTGAAACTGCCTTCAATGAAAATTTTGTTTGTTATTTACTTTTCTTCAGACAGGGTCTCACTACATAGCCCAGCCTCAAATTCATGATCCTCTGGCTTCAGTCAACTGATTGCTAGGATTACAGATATGCACTACCACACCTTGCTCAACAAAAGAATTCTTTTTTGTTTGTTTGTTTGTTTTTTGGCGTTTTTTTGGTGGACAAAGTCTCATTTATGTAGCCCAGGTTAGCCTCAAACAAGAGGTCCTCTTGCCTCTGTTTCAAGTGCTGGGATTACAGGCAAGCACCACTTACTTAAAAGAATTCTTGAAAGCAAAAGAAAAATTTAATATTTGTTTTTCCATTTTATTCCTATTTAGAAGGTTAACTGCAAAGGTTTGTGTGTGGAAGTTATTGTTTGCTTATTAAAATATTTAAAACACAGGCATAAAGTAACTCATATAGTTACTTACTATAATGAATATATGAATTTTACAATTACTCTTAAATCCTTCCAATGATAGTAAGGATTTTCTTTTAGATTATATTAATTCTATCAGAAAGTAATTTAAAAACATTAAGTATTCAGTGACTATACTAAACACATTTTATATATAACCACATGTAAAATATATGCATTAATCATAAGAGTTAAGTCTGATTTACTTTTAGTATGGATATAGTCATTATACAAAGTGGCATTAAGAGGTGACTCTTCCCTTATTTGTTTCTAGCTCTTCCTATTATCAAATACCAATAGTTAAAATTTCCATCAATAATAAGTATGTAACATGACCAGAGAGTGTTTTCTGTTGTTTTAATCTCTAGTAATCAATGATTTCTTATAACCTTTTTTTTCAAAAATGCTTTCATAAATAAAATCATTTCTTACACTAGAAGTAATTTACCTAAAATTATAGACTTTTATTCCATGTACTCATCTAAAATCACTAAAAACTTATGGGAAAGAATAACCCACATGAAGACCAATAATGGAAGATCTTCTAATCTTATTAATAATTCTCAAAAAATATTAGCTAGGCCTAGCTATGCCAGAGGTAAAGATGGGAAGATCATGGTTCTAGGTAATAGCATGGGCAAAAAGTTAGTAAGACCCTATCTCAAAAACAAAGAAAAAACAAAACAAAGTCGGGCATGGTGGTATAGACCAAGGTACTAGGAAGGCAGAGGTAAGAGAATTGTGGTCTGAGGCCAGACCCAGGCAAAACAAAAGGTCGAGACACTATCTGAAAAATAAAGGGAAAAAAAGGCGGTAGAGAAGGCTAGCGTGTGGTTCACATGGCCCTGAGTTTAAACTCTAGTACCACAAAGAAAGGGGGACTAAAAAGAGAAAAAATAAATCAATAAAGGCATTAATGTTAGGAGGAATGGAAGTTAAAGTCAAGAAGTTCACAACTATAATGATTCTAAAGATATCAACTTTCACAGAAAATGTGGTTAAGTTTCTAATTAGTCTTGTTGAATTATCAGCTTCTTCACTCAGAAAACAATTTACCTCTCACTGACAATGTACTGGCTAAAAAAATTCATCCTTAATAACAAGCAGAATAGTTTGTTTTAGTTTCTGGGGTTTTATTTGGTTTTGGCAGTAGTGGGGTTTGAACTCAGGATATGCACTTGGCTAGCAAGCACTCAACCACTTGAGCCATACCTCTAGCCCAAGTGGAATATTTTTTAAAGTAATGGTCATCTAGGGAGTACCAACACAAGCTCATGATCTATTTGGGGGAAGGGAGGGTATTTGTTTTATTTTTTTGAGGAAGGAGCTCACTATGTATCCCAGGCTAGCCTCGAACTTACAATCCTACTGCTTCTGTGAGCAATGGGATTAGGTCCTATGCTACCATGCCTGGCTCTGATCAAGTTTGGTTTTTATTTTTTTGCAGTATTGAGGTTTGAACAACTCAGGGCTTTGAGCTTGCTAGGTAAGTGTTCCACTACTTGATCTATAGTTGTATCACAGAAGTAAGAGCCTAACTGAAACTAGAATATTTGGATAGTTCACATATTACCCAAGAGGCTTTATAGTTTATGAGAGGGCTTTCCCCTACAGAGTCAGCCATAGAGGCTTAAAAGGGCAGGAGAAACAAAAACAAAACAAAGCAAAACTCAGGTTAATTCTATAAAGGCTTTGGTATAGTTCTACTTTCAGTTCCCATCAACAGCCACCCCCTAAAATATAGCCTTCCTTTTGGGTAACCTCAGGAGTTTCACATGGGAAGAAGGCCAAAGTGACTGCTATGGTGCAGACATCAGGCTCACCTGACTACGACGCCTGTGGTTTTATACTGCGTCAGCAGGGGAACAGTGGTGCCGAGTGCCCCCACAACTGAGGGCTGCTGAGGACTGCCTCAGGGGTGCATTTGCGGCTCTTTTCCTCCTGTGGTCCATGTGGAAGGAGAGTGCTTCAGAGATGACAAAGAACAGGAAAACAAAAATTCACACAAAGGAAAAGAAAAGTCCCCTCTCTAAGGCACATCACACACACAATTCTAACAGCAAGTAATAAAATAAGCCTGCAAACTGGCCATAGATTGCTGTATGAAGTACTGAATGTAAGAACAAGCATCCTGGGAAGACGAACTGGAGAGAGGCTGACTGCGGACCAGATCCTGATGTTTAAAGGGGAAAGAGGTTGCCATCAGCTGCATGTCCTCCTAGGCTAGTGATAAAAATCAAATAATGCCCTGATGAGGGAATAGAAATTTTGAGTTTACATTAATGGTAACAATAGTGATTTACTAAGTTAATCTTTTTCCTTCTTTCTTCAGACAAAAATATACAGACGTCATCAAAAATGTAACAATTTCAGGATCAAAAAAAGCAATCATTTGTTCACAACTTCTGAATGTCTAGAATATTAAAAGATCAAGAATTTTTTCACAATGAAGCTGTCAAAGTAGTTAGAAGAGGCAGATGATCCCGTGTAGAAATCAACCTGCTTCTCTTGTCACCTTACAGGAGAAAACTGAAGTCAAAATTCTAACAACTTACCCTTTCTACTTCATGGCATTTTTTCAAAGCATCCCCATATCTCCCCAGTCGCTGATAAGCTGAAATGCATTCTGTCTGAAACCACATACACTGCATTTCATTTAGATTTTCCATGGCAGATGTTCCTTCCTGAAATGGAAGCATTCATATATATAGGCAGTAAACAATAAAATCCTAAAAGACTCATGTTTTGAGCAGGTACAAAGCTCTGAGTTTGATTCCCATCACCAGAAAAATTTTTTTTTTCTTTTACAACTATGTCTACAAGTATTTTGACAATTTACAAATACAGTAATGTATTTCCAAAGGCTCCTACTGGTTTTTGTTTGTTTTGTTTTGTTTTTTGAGAAGGTCTCTCCATGTAGTCCAGGCTAGCCTGAACTCACAATGTAGCTCTGACTGGCCTCAAACTCATAATCTTGAGTGCTAGGGTTTACAGGCTTGTGCCTCTGTGCCCAGCCTCCTACTGGTTTTTAATTACATAGTGTCTTATTTGTCCACTTCCACTGGGGTATTCAACTTTCCATAGATTGCTAAAGGTTAGCTTTTAAACACCAAAATTAAACTATTTAAGACAGTAAATCTTTAAAGCACTGCCTATCTTCTTATGTTTTTTCCCTTTCTGCTATTTAACTTTTCTTTACTGATTCAGATTTCCTAGTAATTGTTCTAAGCATGTTTTTGTTTTTAATTTTTAAGTTTCCCAGTCTCCATTCTCCAAGTTAGGCTCTCTGTTGTCTCTTTTTGTCCAAGTATGTCTGTTTTTAACAGCATCTCCTATTTCATGAGAACTCTTCCACTTTGCTATCTTCTGCACTGTGCTTAGAAACTAAATAACTGAATTTGTTAAGAATATTTGTGAATTCAAGCTCAATGATAATTCTGAAAGGAGTGTAAAGCATGAAGTACCTAGTTTCAGTGTGGGGTACTAGAGTTTTGTCACAGTTTAGAAGACATTTATTTTAAATATACTTGTATGACCCCAGGAAAAAGACAGAAAAGGTATATTTATAAAAATTATTTAGGTCTTCAGTTCTTTTTATCCCCCATTTTTTTATATCAGTTCATTTCTCAGAAGTCATTAAAAAATCTAAAAACTCCAAACACTCAAGAGGCTGAGTGTTTGGATCGACAGTATGAGGCCAACATGGACTACACAGCAAGATCATCTCAATACTTACTCCCCCTGCAAAAAAGAAGTCTAAAAACTGATTACTTCTGGGTGAATAAAATTACACGTATATTTTATTTCTACTTTATACATATCTATATTTTCCAGTTTCTGATGACATCTTTACAAGAAATTATACTTTTAATTTCAAAAAAGTTTACCAAAAATGCATTAAACACTTTACATACCTAAATTGAAAAACCTGTAAGAAAATATGAGCCCTTTACTCATTCATTAACAAGCAGACATAAGCCCTTTTCTCTGTTGGGTATTTTTGAGATAGAGTTTTACAAACTATTTGCCCTGGCTGGCTTTTAACGGTTACCCTCCTGATCTCTATCTCCTGAGTAGCTAAAAATATAAGGCACAAGCCACTGGCACGCAGCTTATACAGTCATTTTTAACTGTACCTCTAATCTGGATCCTTTTCTCAAAAAAATGCATTTTGTCTACTCACTGCACTCTCTTCTGATCTTCATACCTGTGATAAAGTGATGTAGTAGAAAGGACGCTGAAGAGTTTGAACCCTTGCACTATTTACAGTGTGACCAAAGATGGTTCAGATAGCCTCTTCCAAGCTTCAATTACCTTGTGTAAAATGTCAGACACCTGTGTACATGCTACATAGCATAAACAGTATTTAGTATGTTCCTGTTTTATTTTTTCTTCTAGTACCCATCATTTTTACTAATACTTTCCCTAACACTACCAGTGCCACTTTGCATCTGCTATTGGTTCTACGGCATCACTGAGTTTTGAAAACATGAGTTATTGCAGTTTTTGCTCTTACATTATTCTGGCAGAGTTTAGCATGAAGAATATGGGCTTTAGAATCAAAGACACCCAATGCAGAATACTGGCTCCAAATGCAACACTAGTTTCGTGATCTTCAGGGGTGATCTCCCTTAAACATTTTCCTAACTGTAACATGGTGGTAATGATTCACAGAATTGTTAAGATTAAATGAGTTCACATACATAAAATACTTAGCTCAAGACTTAAAAGTGTTAAAGCTACTTTTCTATCTCCCCTTACAAATTGTAAACAAATTAGTAGCATTACTGTAAATATTGGATGTCAAGCTGGTTCATGTGAGAAATCCCTTTTTATAAGAAACAAATAACAAATGATTCTTTAATAAAAACTGAGAAAGCACACAACTGTATGCATGTGTGTAAAAATCATTTCTCGATAGCTAGTCATGTATCGCTTCTCAGCCTTTTGGCTAAGATCAAATGTAATATCTGTATTAGTTTAATAGCTAGTCATGTCAGACTTAATGTTCAATCAATCAGATGGGTACAAAATGTTTATTGTTTTAATTTGCATTTCACTTACTACCAGTGAAGACATCTTTTTAGGTCATTCCATTTTCTACTTCTGAGAACTATTTATATCTTCTGCCCCTTGTTTGTAGTGTCTTACCTTTTTAAAACATAGAGCTTTTCATTTCATGTGTTTATGTCTCTGTGACATTTTTCCAAGTAGTTAAAATTTTCACAATAATAGTTCAAGCTATCCTGTGGTTTCTAAATTATAAGGGGTTTCCTTAAACACCAAGACACAACTAGAATCTAGCTAACATTTAAGGTTGTGCATTGGTTCTTTATGAGCAACATCTTAGCATCAGAAGACATAACACTAACTTATTTTCACCTTAAGAATTTACTGGCAAACACCAGCGCTAAACCGTCCACTTTGTACATAATATGCATTTTTGAAGATTTGTTTATTCTAAAGTATCTTAATTAAAACTTAGAAATCAAACTTGCAAACATGGTTTGCTCATTATATCCCAGTATCACATTTAATGTGTACTGTATAATTATTTCAGCAAGTTCTTTGGGGTTCTTTATAAATTCTTCATCATCATGGGATGGGATTATTTTCTCCAACTGTCTCGTTTATCTTCTCACTTTGCTTATGATTATTTTTCTATATACTTTAAATTTTATAGATAGTAAGCCTGCCTTATTCATGGATTTATTACACACAGTTTTGACCAACCACAATAAAAAAACTTTTTTTAATCAAAAGAAATTTCAAGGACTAGAGGTGTGGCTCAAGTGGCAGGGTGCCTGCTTTGCAAGCACAAAGCCCTAGACCCACCAAGAAAAAACTGTGAAAAAAGAATTTTTAATTTCCATATGCACATTATGCAGCTCAGTTGAGGAGAAATTCTAAGAAAGTACCACATTATTGTCAGTTGTGTTAAAATCCCTGTATGAGCTATTGAGTGCTTCCATAATTTTGTGAAAATATGCCAGGAAAAAAATAAATGAATCCCCAAAACAAGGTAAAAGTCATGGTAATTTTCCCCAAGCCAAAACGGACACATAATGTATTTAATTTAAGTGGCATAGTGAAAATTTTTGATTTGCTGAAAGGCGGCACGCCTTTAGCGGAAGTTGGGCAGTATTAGGGGAAAAATGAATTAAGCATCCACAGTATTTGAGATAAAGAGCATGAAATAAGATCTAGTTTTTGGTGAACAGTACTATGTGTACAACAGTAATTTTGTGACAGTAATGCAGTTTTGTTATACTCAAACCTACTGTACGGACATATAGGTCAATCTGAGTAATTTTAGAGCACTAAACTCAATGCATCCTAAGCATTCACTGTTTGTCCTCAATGGTGGTCTCCTTGGAAACTTACCTCTACAGATACCAAGGGGCTACTGTAGTCAAGTGTATCAATTTTACTCATACATTATGCTTTTGGTATCTTAAATGCTTCCAGGGTGATTGGATTTGATCAGTACATGCTGTATGCATGTATGGAAATATCACACTGAAATCCATCAACATGTGTAACTATTACATTAATTAAAGATTTAATAAATATATAAATCTAACCCTCCTTGCTTCTTTAAAGAAAGAAATGCTTCCTATCTAAAGGGCAAAAATGTTTCTTTGGTCTAAAGACAGACTCCTATATTTTCTTCCAAAAGTCTGAAAGGTTTGCTTTCCGTATTTAGATCTTAATCCATTTGGAACACAAGACAGAGATATGTGCAGCATAAGATAAGCACGTCATTTTAATTTTTTCAGCATAAGAAACTAACTGTCTCAGCAGTATCTTTTCATTCCTAATTTTAAAAGTACCTCTGGCAATATACCAAGTTTCTAAATAGATGTGACTGTTTCTGCGCTTTCTATTCTGCTCTGTTTAGCTACTTATTATTTAATCATAAACATGTATTACTTTCATAATATAAAGTCTGTGTGGAAAAGGGTATGAAAGGATGGCAAAAGAGGGAAAGAACAGGATGTTCAGCCCAATAATTTCAGAGAATTAAATTCCAGAATGTCACAGAGACTAACAGTAAACAGAAATCTGTTTCACATACAACTCTGTAAATGGTTCTGAAGATGATATAAAAGAGAATTAAAAGGAAGTCAAAAGTTACAAGGGAGACAAAAAATTGGGGATATAAAGCAGACTTTACACATAAGAATTTTGCACATACAAAAGTATGGCTTTATATTATTATTGTTTATAATTTTATCAAGCAACTTTGCTACTGCTATTACTTTTTAATCATCACTTGCCAGACACACATACAACTCAATAAGAAACCATACTTGGATGCGGACATGGCTCAAGGGATAGAGCACCTGCATAGCAAGCATAAAGTCCTGAGTTCAAATCCCAGCATCACCATTTTATATATATATATATCTATCTATATATATATCTGAGCTGTGGAATCAGCAGAGATCCCCCAAAATCAATGAATGGATAAAGAAAGTATGGTGTGTGTGTGTGTGTGTGTGTGTGTACATGATGAAATATTACTCAGTCATAAAGAAAATGAAATTATTGCATTTGCAGGAAAATGGACTGAACCAGACAGATCACCATGCTCAATGAAATAAGGCAAGCTCAAAAAAAGAAGTATTACATGTTCTCAGTCTTTGGTGACTTACACCCAAAATGACGATGGTAATGATGACTGATGATGGGACTTGAATATGAAAGGGGATAGTCTGGAAGGCAGGGATCAATGGGAGGGGAGAGGAGGAAGGAAAGGATACTGAGAGGTAAAGAGGGTCACAGCATGCTACATATGTACATGTGAAGACAGCATAATGAAATGCAGCAACACTGTCTGAAAAAGGCAGGAGGAATGGGATATAATGGAAGGGGTAAACTTCGTTCAAAGTATACTATACACATGTATGGAATTAATGCAATGAATTAAACTATTACTTTAATAGTAATACTATTAAAGTATTACTAATTCAAAACATAATAAAATAATATATTAAAATAATAAAATATTTTAATAAAATGTTTTATTATTTAATAAATAATATTTATTAAATAATAAAACATAATAAAAAAGCTGAGCAGCACAGTCATGTAAAAGACTGTAACATTGACAATACCCTTAATCATGTTACCTATTGGAAAATTATGCCCCCATGTTTGATATATACGTAATTTGAAAAACCTGTTACCATTCTGTTCCACATTTTATTTTTTTTAAATTTATTTGAGTAGGGTCTTGCAAAGTAGGCCAGGTTAACCTCAAGCTTGTGATCCTCTTACCTAAGCCTCCTGAGTACTAGGATTATAGGTGTGTACCACCACACCCCACCCGTTTTGTATCTTGGAATCCTAGATTTCTTTGTTCTACATGATGTTTTAAGATATCTGACTTTCGAAAAATTCAATGATATCTGTCTCTTTGGTAATGTAATTATTAATTTCAAAACAAAATCAAAGTACATTATATGCATATGTGAAAATATCAAAATTAAACCTATTATTTTGTACAATTAATATATGTTAATAAAAAAATCCAAACACAAACAAACAAAACCATATTTAGGATATGGGCTAAGTGGGAATAAAAAAAAGAAAAAAAGAGGCTGGATGTGATGGCTTACACCTACAAATCCCAGTCACTCAGGAGGCAGAGATCAGGAAGATCACATCTCAAGGCCATCCTAGCAAAATGTTAGCAAGGCTCCATCTTAACCAACAAGATGGGGATGGAAGGGCACATCTGTGATCCAAGTTACTTGGGAGGCTATAGGTAGGAGGATCATGGTTTGAGGCTAGCCCCAAGCAAAAGACACAAGACCCTATCTGAAAAATAACTAAAGCAAAAAGTGTTAAGGGGTGTGGCTCAACTGGTAGAGCACCTGCTTAGCAAGCTCAGGACCCTGAGTTCAAATATGAGTCCCACAAAAACAAGAATTCTTATGAATTCCAGTGGCAAACTTCACAAATCATCATTCAATGTAAGCTTAATTTTTGCTAATTTAGATAATCACAAACTCATGTATGGCATGTCCTACCCTTGTGAACTTGGAGCACATTTCCTCTGCTTCTTTTATCATATTTGCTCGAAGCATGTATTTTGCACATTTGGAATTAATGAATCTATCAGCTGTATCCAAAGACTGAGCTTCATCCATCCACTTTGTAGCCTCTTTGAGATTACCCATATGCTGTAAGAGAGAAAAGTATTAAATAAATCAGTTTATGATCAAGAGACTATGGGTGCAATCTAAGTAAAAAAAATTATAAGGACAAGTTAGAAATTTGACATTTGTGTCAAATATATCTATAAAAACAGATAATCACAATTCACATTTGCTAACAACTGAATCAAAGGACTAACACTGATGGTACAAGTATGTAACAGAAAAGTCCTTAGGATTATTAGAGTAGTAGAAAAAGATCATTTGGGTGTCCTAGAAATTATTGCTACAACTCCAAGGCTTCTTAAAATACTAAATTCTTCAACTATGCAAAAAATGTGACTTAGATTTTACCTTGTAAATTTTTGCTTTCATATAGAATAACTCTATTAGAGTTGGAGTACTAGCAATTGCAGCATCAATATAATCCAAAGCCAAAGAATATTGTCCAAGTTTATCAAAGTGCTGGGCCAGGAAATATTGAACCCAGAGTAGAGTTGTTGGAGGCTCCTTTTCTCCATTCTCTGCAATTAAACAAGTATTAAATTATTAAAAGGAAGAATATTCAGTAAAGCAAATCACATACTTTTTCTCTTATAAGTCATAATGAAATAATTATTACAACAAAAGTAAAACCTCAGCAAAAATGATCCATTTCAACAGAAAGAGGTATAACTTCATGCCATAAAGGTGGCATGTCAAAGCAAAGAAACAAAATCCTAGTTTGGGGCTGGTGGAATGCCTCAAGTGGTAGAGTGCCTGCCCAGCAAGCATGAGGCTCTGAGTTCAAACCCCTAGCACTACCAAAAAAAAAAAAAGTTCAAAATGCTAGTTTGACTGGCTTCTAACTCCAACCTCCCTCCAAAGAAACACTGCTGGGGTAAAGACTAAATCAATCCAATTCTGTGAATTCTCAAGGTCAAAGCAAAACACAGAAAGCCCAGACAAAACAAAACAAAACAAAAAAATCAAAGAAACTTACTTGGAGAAGAGACAACCATTTTAAGACTTAGCAGAGGCAAGAAATGGCACACTGTTAGGGCAGAGCACTTTCTAGGCCTCAAAACTAAGCCAGAGAAACTCAAAAGTTGAAGGGTATGATTCAGAGGAAGAGGACACAGCCCTAACAAGGTGGAAATATCCCTGCTATATGTTAAAACTCTAAGAGAGAAAACAGTCCAAGGCCTCTAACAAAAGCAGTCACATGCATACAATTAGCTGAGCTCTAAAATTCTGTCCATCCTGTGCCCTCAATCTACAGAAAAATGGATGAAATAAGGCACTCTCAAAGTGGATTTCAGAAGGAAAGACATACAAGTCTAAAATTGTAAATTTGCTCATACTACATCAGAACCGACAGGTTTTCTAGTGTAGTTAACCAGCCAAAACACAAGACAATAATGCAAATATACTATGGCATAAATTAAAATACAAACTGCAAATAAAGGCACAGTCAAGCATTTATCCTGCTCCTCTTATATAAGCTGCAATTCAGAAGAGCCAAATACTTGATGAGGTACAGTCTTCTTCAAAAGAAGAATTTCATGGCTGACAGTGTAGCCCAGTGGTAGAACACATGCATAGCATGTATGAGGCCCTGGCTTTGATTGACAGCACCATAAAAAAATCTAATAAATGCTACTAATATGCATTTAACAAACACAGCTAATAAATACAGAAAATGATGAAAAAAATGAAATGAGAGAGCCAGGCAATGGCTGTTGAAATCCTTAGGTCAGGGGCCCATGATGAACCTTTCAGTAGATACATTATGCTGACAAGGAACCCTGATCAATCTTAATGTCAAAAGAGAGACAACCAGATTGACTCATTCCTCCTAATGTGATACAATATCAAGTACAAAGCAGTACCTGTGAAATATTCAAACAGATCCAAAATCCGATCAAGCCTGTAAATCTAACTATCCATGCTATAAGTTCAAACCCCAGTACCACCAAAAAAAAAACTAGAATATGGGATATTATTTTAAACAAACAAACAAACAAACAAAAAAACCTTTAAAAAGGCACATATTAAAAGAACAATCAAATGCAAAGCATGGGCCTTAAATAGATCTAGATTGAAATAAAACCATTATACAAAGACTTTTCTTTGATAATGAGGGAAATATGAATGCGGACTGGTCTTGTGTCCTGCATGAACTTGTCCTAGAAACCCAACTGGGGGTGACAGGAGATGTGGGAGAAGCCAACAGACAGAAGACCAAACATGCATAAAGCTGGGGCCAGGTAGGATGGGCCATCGGATGGAGACACACAATGCCCCCTCACCTCCAGTGAGTTTATCATACACAGTGGCAACGGAGGTGGAGAGGCAATTTTCGGGGAAGGGGGTGTGACACTGTAATTCTCGGGAACAGAAGGAACCCGTGACAGCTTCTCTCTAAACGTAAACATCTTAGGAAAAACAGGTTTATTACATCTTGCCTACTTCTGCAGCTGAGGCTGTGCCAACTTAAGCATGCAATTTATTTGGCATAACTACACTTGCTACCTTCTGCTGTTTGGGGTTGTGCCAAACTCAAACATGCAGCTTATTTGATACACCTGTCAGCTCCCCACAGACTGGGCATTAGACATTATGAGATAAGGTTAATTTTGTGTATTTTAAACAGAATGAATAATAAGGTATCAATAGGTGAGATATTATGTCTAAAATTTGCTTTAAAAAAAAATCAAAGGGTAATGAGATGAAAGAAGAACCCAGACTAAAGTTATCAGCCACATCACTGAAAATATTCTAGAGGGTTTCCTAAATTGTCTTGATTTTCATATGCTCCCACAAATACAGAAAAGACCAAATTAGACAGGATTAAAAGTAAAAAAATAAATAAATAAATTGTAGAAAAAGTGAACTTAGGGATTCCAGAAAACTAGGTTCTAAATAAACTAACTACATGATCTTGAAGAAGTCACTCAACCTCTTGAGTCTGTTTCCTTGTGTAATAATAGGGCTTGCTCAGGCTGATGGAACAGCTCAAGTGGTAGAGTGCCTGCCTAGCAAGTGTACCACCAAAAGCATACCACCCAGTACCACCCAAAAAGGGGTAGGGGTGGGGGTGGGGGATGCCAGCTCATACTCCACAAGATTATGGAAAAGTTAAATTAATTAAGATTGAAAGTGCTCTCATTTCATTTACTACTTCAAAAACTATTTGATAAGTAGCTATTATGTTCCAAACACATAATAAACATAGAATTACTATGATTAAAAATGGATTGAAATGAGTAATCAAATTCCAATTCAATCTAATTTAAACTTACCATAGGGACTAAAAAAGTCACACGTTTTAAGAGAAGCTTCATAATTAGTAACAAGTTCCTGGATTATAGAAACCTGTTAAGAGAAACATTTTTTTTTAATTTAAAAAGTTTATTAAAGGTATTTTTATTTATAAAATTAGGTTTGAAAAGCAACATATAGTTTACTTCAGAAATATAAATTAAAAGAGCTTATAGGTTGTCTGCTTTTTTCCTCATCTTCCAATATGAGCATTTCCAGGAGGGAGTGAGGAAAAAGAGAATATATACTGTTGCCTTTATTAATAGCAAAAAAGAGTAATTTCTCAATCAGCAGTTTGAGTTTGAAGGACAAATTAACAAAACAATGCCTAATTTTTACACCTGTGTTATTTATTATCAGTTAATTTATTTGCCTTTTTGCTCCCATTTTGTGAAGCTGTAAGCTTCTAAAATGTCACTCTTTACAAAAAAAAAGCAAAATAAACCAAGATTTGAAAGGTATACATGAAACTTAAAATGACTATGTTTTGCCTAAAATTGTTAGCAGCTCTGGTAAAGAACAAAAAGTAAAAACTGTACTTAATACAATTACAGGTTTTCCTAACCAATTTATCTAGCTACCATTAAACAAGGTCAGAAATATAGCTTACTAGTTTTTGAAAACTGGAACTTCAGACATTTTTCATTTTCAGGAAAAAAATTGTATTTCATTTTTCCCCAGACCTCTTTACAAATTGACCAAAATTTACTATGGCTCCCTTGCCACTAAAGAGCAGACTATGGGTGCATCAATAAGTCCTGTGCAGACTTTGGTATACATGGCTCTGAAAACCTGTGTGCATTCATTCCACTTAATCGAAGAAAAGACAGTTACATTTCATTAGTTTTTTTTCTTTAATCCAAATTAATCCCTACCCCACAAAGTTACACAGTAGCATCCATAAAGCCACTGATCACTCACTGATCAAAAACCCATTGATTATACCCTAACCACCCCCCTCAAAAAAAGGCCAAAGTAAAACACTTCTCAGGCCTAGATAACATCTTTCTCATATAATGTTGCTTTCTATGGCATAATTCACTAGTAGAATTAAGACAGGCAATGGGGAAATAAGATGGAACTATATATTAACAGTGGGGAAAAGCTGTAACAAAAAAACAAGATGTGAAAAATATTTACACACACTATGACTTCACTAAAACATATGTTTAGTGAAACACTAAAACATATGTTTAGTGAAACACTAAAACATATGTGTAGTGAAACACTAAAACATGTTTAGTGAAACATACTCAATGAAAATATAACCAAAAGGATTATAGTAGTAGAAAATAGGTGATTTTTAAAGAAAACAAAGAGATTAAACAATCTTAACAAGTTGGTTTAGCTTTGTTTTAAGTAACAAAGTGGTGTTCTATGGTTCACTCTGCATGGTGGTACACAACTATAATCCCAGCACTTGGGAGGCTGAGGCAAGAGGATCCTGAGTTCAAGTCCAGCCTAGGTTAAATAATGAGACCCTACCAAAAAAAGGAAAGGAAGGAAGAGAGGGAGAGGTCAGGAAGGAAGAAGGGAGGGGTTTTCACTCATGTGTAAGCCAAAAAAGTTGGCTTCATAGCAGTAGAGAGTAGAATAGTAGTCACCACAGGCTAGGAAAGGTAGGGAGGAGGGGAAAAGAAGAGAAGTGGGTAACAGGTAGCAAAATATAGTTAGGTAGGAATAATAAATTCTAATGCTCTATTGAACAGTAGGGTATATAACAATTTTTACTATATTTTATAAAAAACTAGAAGAGAGGAGTTTGAAGACTCCCAACACAAAGAAATGATGCATGTCTAAGGAGCTGGAAGATTAAATAAACTCATAATTTGGAAATTTAACAGGATTATTCTGTTTACAAAAAGAATGGGGGCCTGGGAGTAATGGTACACATCTATAATCCAAGCTACTTGAGAGGTGAAGATCAGGAGGATCACAGTTTGAGGCCAGTCTGGGCCAAAAGTCAGTGGGACTCCATCTCATTAAATAATCTGTGTATGGAAGTGGCCACCTTAAGTCCCAGCTATTTGGAAAGCATAAGTAGGAGGTTGTAGCCTGAATTTGGCACTGGACCCTAGCCAAAATATAACTAAAGCAAAAGATTGGAGGTGTGGCTCAAGTGATAGAGCACCTGCCTAGCAAGCACAAGACCCTGAGTTCAAATCCTAGTACTATCAAAATAAAAAAGAATCTGAATGTGTGATCCCTAGACTATTAACAAGATTCAGCATTATCTAGTAGCTTGTAAGAGATAATTTGACTAACACTACAGAATCAGAATCAGAAACTCTGACTCTACACAATCTATGTTTAACAAGTCCTCTAGATAATTCTGATACAGAATTAAGAATTTGAGAACCACTAATAAAAAATGTTGCAAAAAGAGTTTTACTATAAGACCACATCTTTTAATCCACCATAACACCCCACCAATCTCACTTAGGATGCCTGTAACTTAAACTTTTTCTAAGGTTAAAATTTTAGTACTCAAATTGTTCAAATTATGGAGGCAATTCTTTTTCATGAACTTACTATGCCATCTACAGGCAGTTTACAAAAACTGCAATTAGCAAAGGTTTTAAATACAGTGTACTTCTGTGTCTCCAGAATAAAACACTTTGGGGGAGTCAATTTTAATAATAAAAAGTAGAGCAAACTAAAAATATGACAAAAATGCTAGTACAAGACATATAATGAACTTACACATAATCTTTCATAAAGGAATGTGAACACTACTACATAAAACAGATGTCAGTTTCAGAACTTCAAAAGAAGCTCTAATTAAGAAAACAGAATTTAAGATAATAGAAAGTTCACATAAAGTCTACGTTAAAAATCTGAGCACTGAACCTCTAGGTTCCTCAGGTATAAGGAATAAATAGGGTATAAATAAATAAACTTATAAATCTCATAAATTTATGTTATAGTCACTTTAAATTCAATAATTAAGTAAACAATGCATCTCTCAATTATTTTTAATGAATGTTAATATAAAGAATTTTTTCTCAGCTGGGCATGATAGCTCAAGCCCATAACCCTAGGTATTCAGGAAGCAGTTTGGGAGGATCACAGTTCAAAGCCAGCCCAGGCAAAAAGTTCTCAAGACCCCATTGCAAGCAACAGCTACATGTAGTGCTACACCTGTCATATCAGCTACTAAAGAATGCACTAATAGGAAGATGATGGTTCAGGCCAGCTTAGGCATAAAGCAAGACCCTATGTCAAAAATGACAAACACAAAAAAGGCTGGCAGAGTGGTTCAAGTGGTAGAGTTTCTGCCTAGCAAGTGCAAGACCCTGAATTCAACCCCCCAGGAACACCCAAGCAAAAAATAAACAAACAACAACTGAAAAAAACAATGACAATGAAGTGAAAGTACCTGCTTACAGAGGTGAGGTAGGAGAGTTAAGGGTAGGGGGAGAATAAGGCAATTATCTTTCTTAAACACTTCTGAATCAAGCACCTTAAAATTTTTATCATTTCCTTATATCCTCCCCCCTCCCATTGGTACTGACTCCCAGACAGGACCTCTTTTACCTTTCTGTTCTCCATTTTTTCAAAAAAGGCATTTTTGTTTAAGATGGCTATACAGAAAGTTTCCTTGTGGCATTTCCACATATATCTGTATTATAACTTGAAAGGGTGAAGGAGGCTGAGTATAGTGGAAATCTTATGTACTCATGTATGAAAATGGAAAAAATGAGACCTGTTGAAACTATTACAGAAATGGAGGGAGTGGGGAATAAAGGAGAATGATGGAGGGGGTGAATTCAACTATGATATATTGTAAGAACTTTTATAAATGTCACAATGTACCCCAGTACAACAATAATATAATAAATTTTTTAAAATTTATCATTAAATTAAAACACATCCACCCTTTAAGGATTATCTTCCCCAGCTTTATGATTCAGGTAACTGCTCAAACAAATAAGTGATTGAGTCAGATTTCCAAACCTAGGAAGATTCCAAAGCAATTCTCTTTTCACTATACCAGAATTTTCCCAAGAATGGTACACATGGTAGAACAAAAGATGATTATCATTTTCCAGCCAGCTTGCTATGGTTTGTATGGTCTGAGAATATTCTCCAGGGCTTCATGTGTCAATCAGTTATACTAACACAGATTTGTTGTCAACTTATTATTCACAATTATTGCTAATTTATAAAATATTAGAAAAGGTAAATAGTGATAGAAGTTTAATTAAAATTTTTTTAGCTAATAGTAGCTTTTTAATTACAGAAAAGACTGCTAATAAGAAATAATGCTTGGAAATAAAAGTGTAATTTGCTTTCTTTTTTTTGCGGGGGGGGGGGTGAGATAAGACACTAATTTTCATTGAGAAATAAATTCAAACCAAGCCAGGCACCAGTGGCTCATGCCTGTAATCCTCACTATTCAGGAGGCAGAGATGAGGAGGAACATGGTTTGAAGCCAGTCCAGGCAAATACTTCAAGACACCCAATCTCGTAAACACCTAACACAAAAAAGGGCTGGTAGAGTGGCTCAAATGGTACAGCACCTGCCTAACAAGTGTAAAGCCCTGAATTCAAACCCTAGTACCACAAAAAAAAAAAAAAAGAAGAAATTGGAAAAGGGGACGTGAGAACTTCTAATGTTTAGCAAGAATGATCAACCTGACATAATGCTAGGTGTTGGTAATGGTAGACAGAGCCCCTTAGAGCCATGGACACCACCTACCAAAAGAAACACCCAGAAATGCTCTCCTTGGTTGGGGTGTGGCTTGGTGGTACAGCACCTGCCTTGCATACATTAAGACCTTAGGTTCCCTCCCCAAAAGGGAGAGAAAAAAATCTGCAAGAAATGCTCTCATATTACATACTGAGGACCATTCAGGAGATTTGGGGAGATGGTACATTCACAAAATAGAAACTGCCCACCAGGATCTAGCTCTGCGGGACCTGCAGGAGCCACAAGCATAAACACCCCATCCTCCCATCACAGACTCAGAACCACCCTGGGCCTGATCCACCCTCAATCTGCCATGCTACCTCTGTGTTGGTACACAGGTGTCACACAGAATCAGAGTCTCTGGAAGGGCCTCTAGGGCTGAGGGGAGCCCCATGGAGCCCAAGGATGACGCAGTGTTTGAACAGAGGTCAGGATCAGAGGGGCCCAGAGACCAGGGTATAGGTGCAACATCAGGGAAGCTCTCCTAGGTGCCATGCCCCAAGCTGTGGAAGCAGAAGCTGAGCTCTGCTTTGGTAAAGGACTCCCAGAGACTAGAGATTGGAGGGAGGCTGCCTAAGTCATCCCCACTGCCTGAGCAGATAGGAGCTGCTTCTTTGCACTCAAACCACTTCCAACTACTCCACATGAAGGAGATCCAGGAGGGGGAAACTTTTTGCCTTGTTGTGGTGGTTGCAGCTGTCATCCTCTTTACTGCTGGAGCACCAGCCCAGGGTTTGTGGCCCTGTGCATTTGGAACCACCTCCACGTCATGTTCTTTCAGGTTGAGCCTGGTAGTGAGGGCCACCTGAGTCTAATAGTCAGGTTAGCATTTCCATCTTGAAATGCTTTTCCAGCTTCAGATGTTGCTGCCTGCTGTAAATGTTGGCATGGTGAGCCTGGGGCACTGCTGAATCCAGCAAGTCACTAGGCTCCTGCATGCTGTCTCCTGCTCTTCTCTGGTCCATGAGATTCTCTAACTCACTTTCTGTTAACTTTTCTTTTTGAGATGAGGCTTCTCCATTTTGCCCAGGATAGCCTTGGACTCCTGAGCTCAAGTGATCTTCCTACCTGGTCTCCCGAGTAGCTGGGACTATAGGAGGGAACCACCACACCCAGCTCTCCTATAAACTTTTAAGTATCTCATTTTTAATTATCTTTCCAATTTATGACCAAGATTTAATTTTGCAATTTTAAAAAGTATAAAGGTATTCTCTTTATTCAAGAACTAGATAAAAATATACTTAGGACGTAACCTATTACTTAAAACTAGTCATTTACACTCTATTAACCAAATGGCATTTTATTGCTATACTAACTCAATTATCCATGCTATAACTTTAAAGACATGCAATTACAAATTGAAAAAATCTATAGTCATAAAACAGAAAACGAATCATGGAATAGCTAAGTATAGGTTTCTAGTAATGATATGTCAAATTTTAAATCCTAGTAGAAAAGTAAGATATAAGTATAAAAATATCTTTATAATAATCTTACTGTTTGTATAAAGTTTTTACATTCTGTAAAGTTTCACAGATTGGTATTACTTACACTATTCGCATATAGTTTCAGTGTATCTGGTATTAGACTAAAAGTAAGGTAACATTACTAGAACAGAGAAAGAGATTAAATCATAGCAGATTACATGGAAATCTTATAATAACAAAACTCAATAAACACCAATTTTACCTTTTCTGTATCATAATATAAAGATTTCAAAGTAGTAAACAAAGGTGGGCAACCTTTACTGAAGTTTGCTCTCAGGAATTTATCCATTAGTTCTCTGAATTTTTCACCTAGAAACAAAAGCATACTTTGTTATATTTGATTGATGCAATTCTTAAATCACTTTAAAAAAATAAATAAAGCTCCCTCAGAAATAATTACCTCCCTCCAAGTTTTAAACCCAAAAAGTCAGTCAGCATTATCAGTTGTATACAAACGCATAACACCAATAGTTGGCTATTTAATTTTACCTAGATGTAGGTTCAAAATACTTTCAAGGAATACTTCAAAGACAGGTAAACAAAGTGATTATGTAGTTGTAAGCAGAGGAAACAAAATCTACTAGCCAATGCTGAATACATAAAGTAAATCATTTGGTGACTTACTTCAACATTCATGCATTCCACAATCATGTCTCAAGCACCAACTACATACCAGGCACAATTTTAGGTACCGGCAATATAGAAGTGAATAAAACAAAATTTAAAAGTTCTGCCTACATAGAACTTATTCTAGAAAGAGAAACTGACCATAAAAGTAAAGTAAATGTATGTTAGACATGAGACTAAGCCCTGGGGAATTCTAATGAGTTAAAATAAATACCCTATTTGTAACACCAAGTAAATACTTCTCCTGTTCTTGCTAACCATAAATATGTTAGTGTTACTTTCTGAAAGCAGAAAATATTTTAAAAATTAATTTTAAATATAAACATATATGAACATTATGACATCAAGGACTTGGATTTATTTAATCCAATATACACGCCTTGAATTGACATGAAATGACCTCCTTTGTTTCCTTATGCATCACAATACAACACAACAAAACCCAACAACCCAATGCTGCTATTTGGTTGAATTAACCATGTTTAATAAAACATGCATAGCAATAGAATTAGATGCCATAAATTTTGAAAAAAAAATTTTATATTGTTTTCAGATAAATCACCAAAATAGTGGTCTTTGAAAACTACAGGACTGGCAGAATGACAAAAGTGGTAGAGTGCCTGCCCAGCATGCGTAAGATCCTGAATTCAAACCCCAGTACTATCAAAAAAAAAATCCACAAAATTACTAAGACAAAATAAACCTTCACCCTGGGCTAAATCTACATTACTTCCTTTAAAACTAAAACTAGTTTCAGAGATCTTATTTTTCCAATACTACTTCTGGTATAAAGCAAATGTTAATAATACTATGGTAAACAGTAAGAGACTCTGGTGCTTGGAAGTATATATATTTCTCCACTCACTTTGTGTGACACTGGACAAATAACTTGTCCACGAAAACCACTGGGGTAATAATAATGCCAAATGGTCTCAAGAGTACTATGGTATGGCTCAAATTAGGTAAGCAGATGGCAATAAGCAGTGGCTGGCACATATTAATCACTCCATAAGTACTGTCTATCATCTGACAGGTACTGTATTTCTACAGTTAAGAGCATGCTTTCCATACCTGCTTCTGCTTTACCATACTTGCTATCACCACCAAGAAAACAAGTACTTTATCTTCATGTTAGAAGCTACTCTGGATTCCTCTTTTTGGTCAGCTTTGTTGGTCTATTCAGATCATACTGGCAGATTTGATTTAAAAGACAATATATGCTGGGGGCCCATGGCTCACGCCTGTAATCCTAGTTATTCAAGAGGCAGAGTTCAAAGCCAGTCCCGCAAATAGTTTGAGAGATCCTATCTCAGAAAAACCCATCACAAAAAAGGGCTGGTGGAGTGGCTCAAGGCATAGGCCCTAAGTTCAAACCCCAGTACCACACACACACAAAAAAAAGACAATATACACAACTCTCATCTGTAATACTGAAACAATCTTCTCTGAAGAAACTGTTATTGATACTGTGCAGATGTGAGAAAGAATGAGGATACTCTTTATGTGCTGACACAGGATTGATTTCCAAAGAGAATTAAGTGAAAAGAAAGCCCAGATACAAAACAATCATGGCTACCACATATATTTTTTATTGTCTCTGCATAATATGTATTTCTGGACAAATACACCATCAACTGGTAACAATGGCTGTCATGAGAGAAGTAAACCTGATGGCCAATGAGAAACATAGGACAAAGACTTCATTATTTAAAAACTCTTTTGTAACTATGCAACTATATTACTTAAGCAAGAAGCTACTTAACTGCTCAGTCACATGCCACATCCCAAAATTACTACTTAACTATCTCAGTGTTTTTTTTCTTTAGGTATAAGAAAATCCTTACCACAGAAACAAATTATCTCCCTTCTTCCTAGTCATTTTGTAACAATTCTTTAGTACCTCCATAGTTTTTACTTTCAAGAGAAAAACCGATCACTTATCATTACAACACACAATACACATTTCTCTGATGGTACAGACACTATACTTCATTCTTCCTTATATAAATAGTATGGACTTACATAAAGAACCGATGTCCCAAAAACTAATACTCAAGTAATCAGCGAAGACTGCAAGATGAGACTATTTCTGATTCATTTGAAATTTGATCTAAATAATGACCAGCTAGTTTAAAACTTTGGATTACCTCCCTTTCTCTTTCTATCCTTCAGTCAGTGGAGAATAATAGAATATGATAAACTAGCTATTTTGAAGAGTAGCTTTATCCCTGAATTACTTTCATTGCACTTAATAGTGTAGGGTATAGGAGAACTTCCTCAGTATTTCAGCTATGTTCACTGCTCTGTGGGTATTAACTTTTTAATCTAAAAACTGGAAATTCCTTTTTAAGACTTTTACATTGCATTCTCAAGTCTCATGTGTTTTTGAAAATGATCTTACTGCCTTTGATGATATCAAGATGCATTTCTTACTGCACATAAAAATATGTTTAGACAGGCAAAAAGATTTAAGACATACCTAGTTTTTGCATAGGTACAATTAAGCATTTGTATAAATATACATACATATGTACATATAAAATATTTACCAGAGCTTCATAAATAAGTGTATGTAGGAGGTGGTAGAGTGGCTCAAGTGATATAGTGCCTGCCTAGCAAGCACAAGGCCCTGAGTCCAATGCCCACTACTGCCATAAGTAAGTAAATAAATAAATATACTTATGTACAAATAAATCATCTGTAAGGTCATGCCATCAGACTCCTCAACTGGGACATATTTCTTATAAAAAGATCTTTTTAGGGGCTGGCAGAGTGGCTCAAATGGTAGAGTACTTAGTAAGCATGAGGCTCTGAGTTCAAACCCTGGCACTGGCACAAACACAGACATGAAGACCAATGGAACAGAACAGAAGATCCATATATAAACCCACATAGCTACAGTCAACTGATTTTCAACAAAGGAACCCAAAGCACACAATGGAAGAAAAGGCAGACTCTTCAACAAATGTTGCTGGGAATACTGGAAATCCACATGTAGAAGACTGAAACTAGATCCCTGTTTCTCACTCTACCATTATCAATTCAAAGTGGATCAAATATCTTAATATAAGGCCTCAAAGACAGAAACGACTACAAGAAATAGTAGGAATATACTGGAGCATTCAGGCATAGTGAATGACATCCTAAATAGAACTCTGTGGCTCAGCATCTATAAGAAAGATGAACAAATGGGCTGGTACAGTGGCTCAAGGGTAGAACACCTAACTAGCAAGTGTGAGGCCCTGAGGTCAAACCCCAGCGCTACCAAAAAAAAAGAACAACAAATGGGACTGCATCAAACTGAAGTGCTCTGAGCAGCAAAAAGAAACACTAGACTTAAAGAGACTTCCCAAAGAATGGGAGAAAATATTTGCCAGCTATTCATCTGATAGGGGATTAATACCCAGAATCTACAGGGAACTCAAAAAACTCAACCCTCAAAGATTCAACATCCCAATGAAGAAATGTCACATGAATTGAATAGGGAATTTTCAAAGGAAGAGGTACAAATGGCCAAATAAATACTTGAAGTAGTCAACTTCAAAAGCACACTCATCTCACCCCAATCAGAATGGCCATCTTCAAGAGCATAAACAACAAATGCTGGCAAGGATGAGGTGAAATAGGAACCCTTATACACTGTTGGTGGGAATGCAAATTAGTACAACCATTATGGAAAGCTGTATGGAGAGTCCTTAAAAAGCTAAAAATAGAATTGCCTTATGATCCAATGATACCACTATCTGAAAGAATTTAACTCAGGATGCAATAGACACTTACACAGATATTTATTGCAGCACTTTTCATAACAACCCAGATGCCCTACAACTAATGAATGTGTCAAGAAAATATGATAAATATATATTTATATACATATACACATACATATATAAAAACATTTATTAATATATATTATATACATATTAATTATATGTTATATATACACATATACATATAAATAGAGTTTTCTTCAGCCATAAGGAAGAATGACACCATGTGGTTTGAAAGTAAATGGATACAATTAGAGGACATGATGTTAAGTGAAGTAAGCCAGATTCAGAAAGGCAAAGGCTGCTTGTTTTCTCTCATATGTGGAGGACAGATCCAAAAGATAAACATATACACAAAAACAAACATCATAAACAAACGTGTATATAGAACATATTTGTAATAGTGGAACTACTCTATGGAACTTGGGGAAGGAGGGAAAGGCAAAGAGAATGATACAGCATCAACAATATCAAAATATATAACATCTGTTAGGGTAGAGGATATAACAATATGTATAGAAAGCTGGTGAATAATGGGAGTGAAGGAGTAAAGGAGAGTAACAGAGGGGCTGAACGGACCAAAGTAAAGTATACTTACAGTGGGGATACATCCAGAAACCCCTTTGAACATTGGCTTAGGAATTAATAATAAAGGACAGGAGTGTAAAATAAGTACAGTGTGTGGGGGAGTACTTATGGGAGAGGGGGAAGGGTGAACCAAGGAGATGAAGGTGAGAGAGTATGATTGATTGACTTCATATACAAAACAGAACAATGAAACCACTTGCAATTGCTTCAAGTGGTACAGCGGTGCGGGGCGGGGGGGTGGGGGAGCAGGAGGGCGATCTAACCAATATACAATGTACATCTATTCAGAATTGTCACAATAAATCCCCCCTGTACAATGAATATATCCTGACAAAAATGTGAATAAACAAATGAATCATCTTGAAAACCATGCCATCAGACTCTTCAATTGGGACATATTTCTTATAAAAAGATCCTTCCAGGGGCTGGCAGAGTGGCTCAAGTGGTAGAGCACTTAGTAAGTATGAGGCTCTGAGTTCAAAACCTGGTATCAACAAAACAACAAAAAGATCCTTCTAAGCATGGTACTAGTGGCTTATATCTATTTGGAAGGTTGAGATCAGGAGGATCAGCTGATTTGAGACCAGCCCAGACAAAAAAGTTCCTGAGATCTTATCTCAGAGAAAAAAATGCTGGGTGTGGTGGTGCATGCCTGTCATCCAAGTTATTCGGAAGGCTGAGATCAGGAAGACCACAGTTCCAGCTAACTAGGCAAAAAATTTCACGACACTCAACAGAAAAAAGCTGGTTGCAAGGGCACAAATCTGTCATCCCAGCTACAGCAGGAATCATAAAATAAGAAAAGTACAGTCCAGGCTGTCCTGGGCAAAAAGTGAGAACCTATCTCAAAAATAATCAGAACAAAAGGGAACAGAGGCCATCACTCAAGCAACAGAGCACCACTTGCTTAGCAAGTGTGAAGCCAAGTTCAAACCCAATACCGTCAAAATTGAAATTTTTAATAAAATAAATTTTAATAAAATAAAAATCCTTCCAGTATTTCAAAGACAGAATGTTTCAGAAGGTCCACAGTTTAACCTATACAGCACTTTTCAATCAGTAGTTGATTCCAGGTTTTTTGAGTAAAGGTGTATTTTCTACCATCCACTTACTGAGAGCTCTTAGGAATTTTATTAACACGGAAATAAATCTAGGCAGTATAAATATGAAGCCTCATGTTCCAAAAAGGAAAAATAAAACAGAGGAGCTTTGTTTGTGATCTTAAAGCTAAGTGATTTTTTTTTTATAAGATGCACATGAATGAATTTTAAAGCTCCTAAAAGAATATCCTTACCTGCATCGTAAAACCTAGGATATACTTGAGACTGACAAAAGAAGCCAGACTCAAAAGGCTACATATGGCATGATTCCATTTATATGAAATGTCTAAAAGAGGCAATTCACAGATAAAGTAGATTTTAATGGGTACCAGAAGGTGAGGTGGGTTAACAGTGACTGCTAATGGTTAAGGGTTTATTTATAGAGTAATGAAAACTGATAGTAATGATGGTTGCACTAGTCCATGAACATATTAAAACACTGAGTTGCACACTTTTTAAAAAGTTAATTTTATGGCATATGAATTCTGTTTCAAACAACTATTTTTAGAAGGATGAACAGGAAGAGAAAAGAGAAATAAGCACCTTCCATAAAACACTTAGTAGATAAACATTCCATACTACCCAGTATGCTGGCATCTTAGAAATTCACATGCATATATTAAAAGCTCTCAACAGTCCTGTAGGAATCTCACTTATACATTTAACCCAGTTTCCCAAACTTATTTAAATGAAGAATATCCCAGCACACCAGTATCTTCCTTACCAAGCCTACGAATATCAACTTGGACTTAATGTTCCCTGATAAACACTAGGAAAAATCTGCTTTCGGTATTTTATAAAACCAGAAGAAGAAAAAAAGGCAGGTTTTGAAAAACAGTATTCATAACTGTGGAACTGAAATGCACTACTGGAAAATGAATGTTTTAAGCTAATTCCTACCTATCTATTCCAATAAACTGCTAAGAGGTACTTCAGATTTTTTCCATCTGAGTCAACTAAATTTTTTTTAGTTTTATTCTGTTATTAGTTCCCAAACATGTTAAAGAGAACAGCTTTCAATTTTAAATATATCATTCAAAACCAGAATTTTCTGAATATACAAACTAAAATTTATACTTACTAAACAAAAATATTATACCTCACAGTTCACATCCTGTTTTACTATTTTGACTCCTAAATACAAATAAAAACTCCAACTTGTCATAGAGAACAAGTGTTTCCTGTAAAGTTCCAGATAATAAATGTTAGACTCTGCATCTCTACAGTAAACACTAAAATTTTGCTGTTTTAGCAATGCAGAATCAAGTGACTACAGCTATGTTCTATAAAATTTTTAAGTATAGACACTGAAATTGGAGTTTCCTATAATTTTCACAGGATGTATTTGTACATAAGGACCAATGAATGACTCAAAGACCTCCCATTAAGACCCACCTCTTGAAGGTTCCACTACCTCTTAATATCTCCACAATGAGGACCAAGCTTTCAACTCACGAATCCTTGGGGGACACATTTAAACCACATCTAAACCATTGCAGGTTCCAGATATAAAAATCAGGATTCTAATATAAGTCACATAACTTGTTAGTCATTGATTATCGAAATTGGGATATTCTGACTAAAGGATATATTCAGCCAGAATACCTAATTATTAATTGTGCCTACTAATGCCTAATCCACCATTCTCTGCTTAAGATACACTGAAATCTGATATGAAAAAGAAACCACAGCTGGGTGCTGAGGCTCACTCCTATAATCCTAGCTACTCAGGAAGATCTCAGTTTGAAGCCAGCCTGGGGAAACAGTTCATGAAACCCTATCTCAAAACACCCAACACAGAAACAGGGTTCGCAGAGTGGCCCAAGTGGTAAAGCACATGCCTAGGAAGTGTGAGGCGATGAGTTCAAACCCAGGTACTGCCAAAAATAAAAGTAATAATAATAGAAAAAGAAACAATAACCTAATATATTTTGCTTTGAGAAGTTAATGTGAATCTTTTCTGGTGGCAAATGGCAAAAATGAATGATATATAAGTCCAACACAATCAGTAAAGGGAATCTTTCTAACAAATACATTACCTAAAATGGCTATGCATGGTCTTTTACACTGTTGATAAAACATGTATTATCCATCTTTTTAAATTTTTTTGAGTTTCATAAATATTTTAACAGTTTTTAGTTTTCTGAATTAGCACGTTAATAGTATAGGGGATTTCATTATGGTAATTCCATACATGTGCATGGTGTACTTTGAACAAGTTCAGCCCCTCCATTATATTTCTATTTCCTCCCCTCTCTCTTCCAAATTTTTTTAATCTTCATGAATCTTGTGATAAAAAAAATATATAATCCAATCATTTAAACACGTATTTCCACTGTAAATGAGAATTCATTAAAAAATATATTGAATATATTGAATAGAGACCTTTGAAAGTTATGTTAGCTTTCTAGTCTGACTTCTAATAAAGAAATGCCAAATCTCAATAATAATTCACAAACTATAGCACATACAACTAAAAATAATTTTTATTTTAAATCAGGGCTTTTGGTTTTTCTTTTAAATAAAATCAATAATGTTAACTATCTGAAGAGCTAATATACTCAACTACCTTCCATACAGCCCAAAAGTAAATTCAAGTTCAGCTACATGCAACAACTTGATCAAGGTCACGAATACACTAGCAAATCAGAGAGGTGGGAGCATAGCTCAAGTGGTAGAATGCCTACCTAGCATACAGTGTGGGTTCAACACCCAGTACTACAAAAAAAAAAAAAAAAAAAAAAAGCAAATCACAACACATGGAGCTCTATAAATGAAAGGAATGGCATGATAGCAAACAAAATTCAGGAAAGCAGTTGACTCTGAAGAGGGTATTATGGTTTGGAAATGAAGTGTCCCCTCAAGAAAGTTCATGTGTTGAAGGCTTGGACACCAGCTGGTGGGGAGATTGAGAGGTGATTCTATCATGAGGGTGCTAACTTTACTGATGGATTAATCCATAATTCTACTCATGAGTTCATAGCTGAAAGGGCTATTATAGAAAGTAGGGCCTACATGGAGGAAGCAGACACTGGGGGCCTTTCTCTGAAAAGTGTACTTTGTCCCTGGACCCTTCTTCTCTCTCTTGGTCTACTTTCAGCTGCCAAGAGGCGAGCATCTCTGCTCTACTATGCCCTCTCCACCACAATGCTCTGCTTTACCATAGGCCCAGAAACAATGGAACCAGCATACTATAAACTAAAACCTCTGAGACCACAAGCCAAGCATTTTGTCAGGTGTTTTGTCACAGTGATGAAGGGTGACTGACATAGAGGGCTTCAAAGGAATGGTGACATCTTCATTTTAAACACTATGGCATGCACAAAGAATTCACAACTCATTCTTTGAACATATACTCTAAAAAAAGAGAAAACTTCAAAACATCTACCACTTAAATCATAATACCTCATATATAATTGTCATCAACTCTAGAGAATTTCATTTACCTTAACATGGTTATTTTTTTAAAAGTCACACAAGAAAAAATAGGTTTTTACAGATAACATGAGATTTAAAACCAACATTTAGCTCTACAATGAAATATAACATTCTTCTTACCATACACATAATAAAATTTGTAACTCAACACTTCTACTCACAAAATAATCAGTGTAAACATAAACTCCATGCCAGAAACAAGTTTTTAAAATACAGATGGCATTAATAATTTATAAAGTGTTAGGAAAAATATCCTAATATTACCTGGAACAAGACTTAAAGGTAATCTTCTAGGTGAAATTGCTCTGGGGTACTGCTTACAAATTTCTTCATAAATCTGAAGCCTCTCTTCTAAAGTGCCTATTACCAGTAAACATGTGTGAGAGTCAAGGTATCACAACTTTTTATCTACGAATAAAACACTAGCAAACTTAAAAATCATGTTAGAAATAAAAACTGTATTATCAATATTAAAGCTGCCCTCAATTTTTGACAAGCATGACAGATAAAACTCTGTGGCAGTGAAATAACAATCAGTAAGTCATTATTTTAAACACAGTCTCTGGAGAAATCCATACTTCTTTCATCACAACAGATGTATCGAACTCAAATCACACACCCAAGTCACACAAAGGTATGTTGCATTTCTCTTATATTCCTTAGCACTCAACCCATGAAAATGAAAATCCTTTTATAACATTCCTTTATAATATCTATGTAGACACTTTAAACTTACATATATCCTCCAAAAGTCTAAAATGTGGTTAGCCTTAAAAAAGAAACTGTTTTAAGATCACAACTGCAAACATTTTACAGTTTAAAAAAAGAAATAAATTTCCTGATTGCTTTGACACTTCAAATCTTGAATGAAACTCCATTATAAAGAACCTAATCAGCCTAGATTCTTTAAAGTAATGATCATTTCTCCCAAGTGATATAAAATATACTTTTAACAGAAGTAGTATCTTCCCTCCCAAGAGCCATCTAACTTTATAGTACCACACAGATCTACATATAAACTATACGTTGTTCTGCAACATCAATATCCAGAATAGGATGAGTATAGTTCATCATCTGAAAAATATATACTGCAAAATTTACAAAGGGAGACCATTTTATATAAGCAATAACTTACGGCAGAATCTTAAAAGTAAACAAACCTCTTTTTGAACTATAAATTTTTAAGTGGATTTTAATTCAGACCACAGAAATATAAGAATAAACCTTCGTACCAGTAAACAAAGTATCTTCATAGTAAATGTAGTGTTTAGTATTAAGATTATAAAAACACCAACTTCAAGAGATGTTTGACTTTGTATAGAAGCATTTCTTCCCCAAGTAATATATTTTGGCACTCCAATGTAGTTCAATTTTTAAAACTGGGATATCTTAAAAATAAATTTTCACTTTCTGTTAACAATTTGGAGACTTTGCAGAGTATTAAGGACTCATACTAAAATTTATAATGAAGGGTACTGGGCATTTTTTTTAAAAGTAGTTCTTGTATCTATTCCTAATCTTAGAGAATAACAAGCTGTTATTTTAAAAAAAGAAAAAGGTTTCTCCACTATTCCAGATATAACAAGTCTTCTATAGTTAAATTAACATTAAGACAAGTGACACCATTTCAATGCCCTACTTAAAGTCGCAAGTTGGAGCTCCAGAACTTACAATGGGGGAAGAGAGATCCTAAAGAACTTAGAAAGATAAAGTAGTATAATTATTTTTCATTCATTTTATTAAAGTGTTTAAATAGTTTTATTATTTATTGCAATGTAACTAGTAGTTTAAGAAAAACTGTAATTATTTCACATTTCCTACCTTCAGGCATATTAACTTTTGCCCTAGTTTTTTTCAAACAGATTATCAATCTAACCAATATTTTAATTCTAATCATTTTAGTAAAAGCAATTATTTAAGAAAATAAAAAGGCTCATAATGATTAAAGACATATTTATCTATAATTATATATGACTTTAGGAATATTAACTTCTCCTACCAACATTTAATTTTGAAAATATTAGGGAAAATTTGGACTAACACTCTAGATTTCTGAAAAGGGTCAAGGCTAATTTCAAAAATGTAGTTTCACTCTACACAAATTATCTTAGTTTGAAATTAAGAGAGTAATTTAATGTTGGTGCTAATAAAGTACTTACCCTCATCAGGATTTTCTTTGGCCCAATTCTCCTATTTAAAGGTTGAGGATAACAGACCTCTAATGATTTAAAAATATTAAAATAATTTTGACACTTCCCAGAAAGGGGATGCTCATGCTCATTTTCTTCTTCAACCCTAGTGTTTTTTAAAGTTTCTTTTTGTTTTTCTTTTTTTATTTTTTTTGACAGTGTCTCATTATACAGCCCAAGCTGGCCTTGAACTCACAATCCTACTGCAAGCTAGAATTTCAGGATGTGCGAACAAATCTGGCTATAGTTAGTCTTAATTGGTACAATTTTAAATGGGACAGGGAACCTAAAATTATCTGTAAGCACTATTGTTTAAGTGTAAATATTTGGGTTAATTTTCATTCCCATATTTAATCAATTTTACTACTAAAAAAATAATTTCACTACGTAGAAAAACAAATGTAATGCTATAATTATTCATCCTCAATGATTATTACAACTTTATATTTTATTGTACTTCGAACATTAAAGTACAAGAGAAAAATCATTACATACTAAGTTGTAGCGCTTTTTCCAAGCCTTCATAGTAACACCAGTTTTCTGCATTCCGGTCAATCAAGTTTTTGAATATTTCACTGGCTTCTTTTAATCTTCCCAATTTCAACAGTATTTCCCCTAAAATTAAGTTTAAAGTCATATTCATTTTACTTCAACATGAAATACTTTTCTGATCCCAGCGATTTCACTAAGAATCATTGGTGAACAGACGTTTATGAAAGAGAATTACGTGTCCTTCCTCTTGGGGCTACAGTTTATATAACTAAGTGCAGATTAATTCACAGCTTCCTTTCAGAAATTAGCCTTCATTTAAACATTCTATCATACTAATATTTGTTTTTGGCTCCCTCCTACTCTGCTCACTAGCAATGTATGGATGAATGTGGTTCTGAGACCATGTGCAAAAATTTTAAACTAGAACTGCCAGGCGCTGGTGGCTCTTCCCTGTAATCCTACCACTCAGGAGGCAGAGATCAGGAGGATCGAGGTTTGAAGCCAGCCTAGGCAAATAGTTCATGAAATCCTATCTCGAAAAACCTTTCACAAGAAAGGACTGGTGGAGTGGCTCAAGGTGAGTTCAAGCCCCAGCACCACCAAAAAAAAAATTAAAAAAATTAAAAAAAAATTAACTAGAACTGATCTCACTGTATCATACTTCCTTTTTTTTTTTTTTAAACTTTTGGAAGTAGTGGAGTTTGAACTCAGGGCTTCTCATTTGCCAAGCAGGCACTCTATTACTTGATCTACACCCTCGGCTCTTTTTCTTTAGTTATTTTTCAGGGAGGATCTCAAGGATTATTTGCCTGAAGCTGGCCTCAGACTGAGATTCTCTTACCTATGGCCTCTAGAGTAGCTGGGACCACAGGTAGTACCACCACACCTGGCTTATTGAGATAGGGTCTTCCTGACTATTTGTTGGGGCTGGTCTTGAACTTCAATCCTCCTGATCTTTACGTCATGAACAGCTGGGATTACAGGCTTCAGCCACCATCCTGGCCTCCTATTTACTTGTTACTCACTCTTTTTTTTTTTTTTTTTTGGTGGTACTGGGGTTTGAACTGAGGGACTCATGCTTGCTAGGAGGTGCTCTATCACTTGAGCCACTCCATCAGCCCCTATTTACTTTTTAGTAACTACAACTCCCACTGATGCTACAGAACAAAGAAAGAGACAGAGAAACAGCATCCTAACAGTGCTAAGACTTAATTACAAAACAGCAGTACATACGAAAAAGGAAAAATAATTGCCTTGTTTTCTTTGCTTCCATCAATTGTAGGTAGTGGAATAAGAAAGAGATCAGGGGGCTGTGGTGCAGCTCAGTGACAGAGAGCCTCCTAGCAAATGCAAGACCCTGAGTTCAAACTCTAGTACCATCAAGCCTCATCCCCTCCCCCCAAAAAAAACAAAGGGACCAGAACATCTAATTATGTACATCCACATGTCATCAACAGTTTGAAAAACAGTACTGCCATCAATAGTAGTATCAGTACTAATCACAATAAAAACTTACTCAGCTGCTATACATTAACAATAAGACTATAGCAATTATAAGGGATCATATTCTTCAATACTCTGCAGCTCTAAAATGTATGTAACAACTACAACATAGGGTTGTTATAAGGATTAAATTAATTAATAATGGCTTAACAATAAAGTGCTTAGAATATCACCTGATACACACCAAGTGTTATTTAAGAGTTAGGAAAGAACAGAACATGTTATTTTGATTCTTTTCCTTAACTGGAGCCATTGAAAAAGAAAAAACACTGGAGGTGTGGCACAAGTGGCAAAGCACCTGTTTTGCAAGCATGTAAGCCCTGAATTCAAACCCCAGTCCCACAAAAAAAATAGTTTAAAAAAAATTTACCTTTAATTTCTTCCACCAAAAGTTTATCACATATTTGTTTCTCATATGTTTCAATATGTTCCAAAGATTCCTGAAAGAGATTTGCCTCTCTCATCACTTGATTCTGATATAGTATCAGTTCACTATATTCATAGTCTATTTTGTTGGGAGGAACCTAAAAAAACAAATTATCTTATTTGTACAATTATATAAATTGTTACAGATCTTCTCAGGAGAGACATTTGCACAGGCTTAAAAAAGCAACCCATAAGCAGTTACGAATATAATAATGATTAATAGCGCAGAACATTAATACAGTTTTAAAAATAACTGAAGCGGTCACAAATCCTATACTCAAGTATAAAAATGGCTGAAATCCTAATATTTTTTAACTCTATTAAAAAATTATTAGAATGAACAAAGGAGTTTAATAAAGTCAAAGAATAAATGATCGACATCAAAATCCACTGTATTTCTATATACTAGCAATCAACAACCCAAAAAGGAAATTAAAACAATTTCATTCATAATGAAAATTCATTCAGCATCAAAAACCCAGTTTTGTTCTGATAGGAATAAATAATAAAACTTATACACTGAAAATAAAATATACCAAAAAAATTAAAGTCCTGAATAAATGGAGGCATTCTATTCCATGTTCATGAACCAGAACACATGGTATTACTAATATAGCAATCCTCCCCAAATTCATCTATAAATTCAACATAATCTCTAATAAAATCTCAGCAAGCTTTTTCAAGAAATTCCAGCTGATCCCAGTTGCAATTCATATGGAATTGCACTGCAACTAATATGGAAATGCAAAGGAAATCAAATAGCCAAAACAATCTTAGAAAAGTTAAAAGGAAAAACACTTCAAATTTCAAATCTACCTTAAAGCTATAATAATCAAGACAGTATTACAATGATATCAGGACATACATCATACATACACATCAAGAGGAAAACACAAGTACAGAAATAAACTCTAGGTCGGCCATCAGTGGCTTATCCTTGAAACCCTAGCTACTCAGAAGGCAGAGAGTAGGAAGATCATGCTTCAAAGTCAGTGGGACAAATAGTTCATGGACCCTATCTCAAAAATACCCAAAACACACACACACACACACACACACACAAGGTTGGCAGAATGTCTCAAGTGGTAGAGTGCCTGCCTAGCAAGCGTGAGGCCCTGAGTTCAACCCTAGTACCAAATAAATAAATGAATAAACAAACTTTTATATTCTAGTCAATTGATTTTTGATAAAGATGCCAAACCAATGCAATGGAGTAGTCTTTCCAAGAAATGATGCTGGGGACTGGCAGAGTGGCTCAAGTGGTAGAGCATCTCCTAGCAAGCATGAAACCCTGAGTTCAAACCCCAGTGTTGCCAAAAAAAAAGGAAGGAAGAAATGATGCTAGGACAATTCAGTATCTACATGCAAAAATGACCCTAGACACATAACTCACACTATATGCAAAAATTAACTCAAAAATGGATCAGAGACCTAAAAGTGCTAAAGTTATAAACGTATTAGAACAGGAAAAGTCTTTGTGACAAATGTATATAAGAAAAAAACAGTTTTTCCCAGATGTCGGCTACAGGGAGGAAGCAGAAAGTGTACCTCCTAAAGTGAAATCTTGGAAAGACACTGGAGACACACCTTGCAGGCAAGGCCACTGAGAAGAGGCAAAACTTTGACCCCTCCACACCTCCAGCCTGCGCAGAGCATCTCACATCACATTAAATGGAGAATCCAGGAGGGCCCCCAGGCCCAGATGGCTTGGGAAGACGCAAACAAGGTGAGCTAGGCTGTACGTGGTACTTCCACAGACATCCCTGGGCCAGATCTGCATAGCCCCATGGACAGACCGACCCCACACCCCAAGAGGAAAAAAGAGAAACTGAGTAATAAGCAATAAGAACAACAAAGACACGTAGCAAAGAGGGTGGGGTGCCCTGAGCACCGAAGAGCGGGGAGGAGAATCCTTCCCAGAACTGTAAATAAACAAGCCAGGCCTGGCCAGAGAGGGCGCGGGTGGGGGCACGCACCCAGCAACCAGGAGCAGGAAAGCTTGTGAGAGTGACAGAGGAAGGAAAACTCCACAGGAGAAGGGGAGAAGACCCACTTCTCACGTGAACTGTAAATAAACACGCAGGCCTGAGAAAGCAGGTGCAGTGTCACCTCCCCCAGTGTGCTTGGAAACGGGAAAGATTGTAGCAGTGGCACAGTGCACAGAACTCTGAGTAAACAAAGCCTGCTGGGCCAGGTGAGTGCTAAGCTCATCCCAGAGATCTGCATAAATAACACCTCCAGCTACAGCAGACTGACAGCAGCAGGCAGGCAAGCCACAGCCGCAGATAGCCATTCACAGAACTGTCTCCAGACTCTTTTTTTTTTTTTCTCTCTTCCTACCTTTGATGAGACAACAACCAAACTACACCTGTATGCTGAAAAACTTACTGAAATAGTATTGCATTTGAACTTGTGACACTTTGTGGGTTTTTGTTTTTGCCTTTTTTTCTTATGTTACCTCTTTGATGAGACAACTACAAAACAACATCTGAAGCACCATCTCCAGGATTGGAGGCTGAGGAACGAACACCAAAATTATTAAGACTGAAACTTCACTGCATTTTAACATGGAGGGTTTTTTTTTTAATTTTTTATTTTATATATATTTTATATATATATATATATATATATATACATTTTTTCTTTCATTTACTTATTTTTTATTTTTATTATCTTTATTCTTTTTATTTTCAATCCTCTCTCTCTCTAATGCCTTTTCAGCTTACTGTTGATTAGTATATTGTCTCTGTTTACATCTTTGAAACTTTTTTGTTTGTTTCTTCTTTTGTTTTTTTCTACTTCATTGTTTTTCCCTTTTCCTTTAACTTCTTTGCTTTCCATCCCCTCTCACCCTTCCATTCTAAATATCACTAGTGCTATTATTACAGCCAGAAAATACTTAATTGCACACAATACAGGGACAATAACAACACCAAGACCAATGACGGGAAGACAGAAAAAACAGGGAAACCAGTTTCCCCACGGCAAAAAATTAGTACAGGAACCAGAGGGAAATGAAGAAAACAAATACTCAGATCCAGACTTCAACAAAATGAAGATAAACTATGCCAAAGAACCCAATGAAGCCCACAAGAATAATTTAAAATAAGACATACTTCAGATACTCAATGAAAATTTTACAGAGATGACACTGGACATGGTCAACCAAAATGTACAGGAGACAATCGAGAAATTCCAAGACAACAAAAATAGAGAATTTGAAAAAGCAAAAGAAGAACTAAAGGAAACCATAGAAGCACTGTATAAACACTAAAGTGAAACGGAGAACACGATGAATAAACAGATAAATGAACTCAGGACAAAAATAGACAACATTAAAGAGGAAGGGACTCAGTATATGGAAAACCTCAGAAAAAAGAATGAAACAGAACTGCAAAACAAAACGGAAGGCCAATCCAGCAGAATAGAACAAACAGAAGACAGAATCTCAGAACTCGAAGATGAAATGGTAATTAAAGGAAAAACTGAAGAACTATTAATTAAACAACTCAAGATATGTGAAAAGAAAATGCAACTCACCAACTCCATCAAAAGACCAAACTGGAAAATCATGGGCATCAAAGAAGGAGAAGAGGTGCAAGCAAAGGGAATGCATAATATATTCAACAAAATAATAACAGAAAATTTCCCAAATCTAGAGAAAGATAATCCCATACAGATCAAGAGGCCTCCAGAACAAACAAACAGACCAGATCAAAATAGAACTACCCCACGACATATCATCATTAAAACAACAAGTTCAGAAACTAGGGAAAGAATATTGAAGGATGTAAGAGAGAAAAAACAAATAACATACATAGGTAAACCCATCAAAATCACAGCAGACTTCTCAACAGAAACATTAAAATCAAGAAGAGCTTAGGGTGAGATCTTCCGGGCACTGAATGAAAATAACTTCAACCCCAGGATACTCTACCCAGCAAAACTATCATTCAAAATAAATGAAGCAATAAAAGTCTTCCATGGTAACCAGAAACTAAAACAATATGTGACCACAAAGCCACCACTACAAAAGATTCTTCAAGGGATTCTGCACACAGAAAGTGAAACCCAACATAACCATGAAAGGACAGGCAGCACCAAACTACAGGAAAAGAAAAAGCAAGAAAGTAGACAGTAACCTCAACTTAGGTACACACAATCAAACCTTCAAACAACTAAGACAACTGAATCAAGAGGAAATTAATCACCTGAATAGATCTATAACACAAAATGAAATTGAAGCAGCAATCAAGAGTCTCCCTAAAAAGAAAAGTCCAGGACCCAATGGATTCTCTGCTGAATTCTACCAGACCTTTAAAGAAGAACTGATACCAACCCTCCTTTAACTGTTCCACAAAATAGAAAGGGAAGGAAAACTGCCTAACACATATTATGAAGCCAGAATTACACTTATCCCAAAACCAGGCAAAGACACCTCCAAAAAGGAGAACTATAGGCCAATCTCCTTAATGAACATTGATGCAAAAATCCTCAACAAAATAATGGCAAACCGAATTCAACAACACATCAAAAAGATTATTCACCATGACCAAGTAGGCTTCATCCCAGGGATGCAGGGGTGGTTCAACATATGAAAATCAATAAATGTAATAAACCACATTAACAGAAGCAAAGACAAAAACCACTTGATCATCTCAATAGATGCAGAAAAAGCCTTTGATAAGATCCAACACCATTTCATGATAAAAGCTCTAAGAAAACTAGGAATAGAAGGAAAGTACCTCAACATTATAAAAGCTATATATGACAAACCTACAGCCAGCATTATACTTAACGGAGAAAAACTGAAACCATTCCTCTAAAATCAAGAACCAGACAAGGATGCCCACTATCTCCACTCCTATTCAACATAGTACTGGAATTCCTAGCCAGAGCAATTAGGCAAGAAGAAGGAATAAAAGGAATACAAATAGGTAAAGAAACTGTCAAAATATCCCTATTTGCAGACGACATGATCCTATACCTTAAAGACCCAAAAAACTCTACTCAAAGCTCTAGACACATCAATAGCTACAGCAAGGTAGCAGGATATAAAATCAACATAGAAAAATCATTAGCATTTCTATACACTAAT